TGCTTTTTCGTAGTTGGAGAGGCTGAGGTATAGTGACGAGCTTCATTCAATCGGTTGCTTGGCGATGATCTGAAGTGTCGCAACTCGGTCGGCACATAGTCGATCCATACGAAACTCGTTTTGTTGATCTTAAGGTTGGGTGTCCATTGAATTTTTTCATTTGGTCTCGCAACACTGTTGGAAACTCTCTTGTACTGATAGTATTGTGATGCATCCGTAATTGTCGCACTCGATCAAATTTCCCTTCTTTGGTATCCTGTTCAGGTACCCTTCTTTCTGGTCTGTTGGTATTTATTCTTCCTCCTAAATCTTTTCCAAGAGAACGTAATGCACCATTTTCTTCTCCGGTAGGAAATTTTCAATTAGTAAAACAAAACCATGTCCATTCAGTGTCTTCAGCAAATTGCGGACCCTAAAAGATAATTGGCTCTTCGTATAACTTAGTAACACTTACAGTGCATAATGAATACCACTCATCTTATCTGTTCAGCAGTAATCTTTATGTGTAACAAACATTCCTCGTCTATTAGTCTGTCTTGGTAGCATTCACATTTATATTCTGTGGCGTTGGTCATCGCCGAATCATGCATTCTCCATTTTGTTACTGTATCGTTCTCACTACTCAGATGAGCTTGGTGAGATATTTACTCCCGTACAAGTGATCCTTCCTTTTTTCTGAAGTGCGGTCCAGCGAAGCTCATGTGACGTTTGGCACCTGTTCAGATGTTTGTAATTGTTGTAGCACGTTAGCTCGTCTAAAGAATACACGAGTGTTGTTAGCTCGCAGTCAGGAGTGCATACGCACCGTTTCTGTTTTCTGAGCCTTGTTGTTTATAAGTCACTCAAAATGTGCTGATGCACGTTTCACATAATCCCTTGTGTCTAGTGAGACACTTATCTAAGGTGAAAGATTCCGCTGCTAAATGCAAAGTTCTTCCGAAAACACTTCTGATGGCTACCAACCGATATGTTCTTTAATGTGTAGTGACTCACATTTATCACGAGAACACGACTGGTTTGATAAAAACAATTATTATTATAACCAACTGTAGCAGTGTTTATTTTAATGTGCTTTTGTTTGACTGTGCTAATGACAGCTATATTGTGCTTCCATTCTTATTATTGCACTTTGATTGTGACTTCGCGCGAATTCGGTTACGTTCTGTAACCAAGCTTGTATCCTGGCACGATCTCGGTATCCTTTCGATGCCACGGGATCTCCAGCGAATATATCTCGATTTGGTTCATTAATTCCCTTCTGATATTTGGCTTCTCGGGGATTTTATGGATTTATTTGTTTACGTTCAACCTTCGCCTTCTGATTTACTTGGCACGTGTTTTTTGGTAGCAGTGTTCATAGTTAATCTCAACTCGACGCCACGCAACAAATGTGTGACGTTATACCTAGCATAATTGTTTTGCGCCTTTCTGGTTTGAGGATCTATTAAAATTTCTGTGTGTTTTATTTTGTACTCGTTTGTTTATTGAAGCTGCTCTACTCAAGATCACTTCGATGTTTTCTGCTCACCTGTTCCACTGGTCATGAATCTCAGTGACTGAGTCACCTTCTGTGTGCTTTAATGGCTGCTCTGCTAGTTTCTTCCTCATTTCGTATATTTCTCTCATATTGTCTTCTGCATCGCTTTTCACTTTCGTTTCTATGTCTACTACTTGTTTCCAAATAACATATCCTCATGCTACACTTCATCATCAAGTTTTATTCTATCGATTCGACCTGTGCGTGAGGGTTTACTAAAGACTGCTTGTGTTGTCTTACCTATCATTTGTTTAGCAAAGGGGCAATATAATAAAAGTCGATATTTTGATTGCCGATTTTGTCATCTGATAATGGACAGGTTCAAATATAACAATCACCAGTTTACTGACCTAACATAATTTTTCAGCGTATATCTATTTAGGTTCTCCGTTGTTTTCAAAAAACTCTAGATAGTTGAAAGTCCCATAGTTTGTGCTTTTATTGTACAATAGGCTTCTGCATTAGGCTCTAAACATGTGCATCATTTGTTCTTTCAAGAATCGCTTTTGGTTCGAAGAAGTTAGCCGTATCACTTGAAATATTCGCAAATAAAACTAGAAACTCGATTCCTATGTAACCCGATTAATCATATATGGTTAGAGGAGTAGTTGTTTACACCTAGTTAACTAGAAATCTGCACCGGGAACCTCAGACCATATTAATTTTTTTCACATTGTGTTCGACTTAACGTCGCGACAGTAATAAAAACTTTGTTTTGATTAGATTTCAATTTGTTTAGTGGTATCTGTGTAGTCTTCAGTTAACAAACTACTAGTTGTTCTAACATACATACCATCGTAATAATTGAATGAATGTTCCGCGTTCACGGTTGTTGACATTCTATTAGTGTTACATGTCGAAAGTAAATCTTCTCAATAATTATGTGTTCGGCTCCGGAATTCGCGTGGTTAGGAACCAATACTACTACAGTATCATTCGCTTTCCAGCCCAAGTGTGTGCTAGACGTCATATTGCTGATTGACACGTACGATGAGTCAGTGTAGAAATTAATTTGAATTTCACGTGAGATTTGTGAAGTGGTCGCATCATGACATATCTGCAATTTCGAGGTTAGTTCTGTTATCATATTAGCAAAGATAAATGTACTAAAACCAAATTAGACCGTAATTAAACAGTATTACAAAATACTGATGATTACAATAGGTCTGGAATTTCGAGAAGATATCTGTCTGTCAGACAAAAGATGAGTTTGCTTGTTAGCAGCCTGCATTGATGCACTTTATGGTGTGCAATGTAATGACTACGAATGGAGAATATTCGCGGGTCACTATATATCGATCCTAGAGGTGTTTGAAACATCGCTCGTGCATTTTGGGACCAGTGAAGAGAAACTAGTGGAGTGAGGCATGGGACACCAAGCAATAATTGTAAATTGGTAGGTGTATTCTAGTCAACTTATTTGAACTTTGTATTACGTATCCCACTCCACCAACTATCCTGATGCACAACGATGGCTAACGGAGGCCTACAAGCTACAATCTACAAGCGACCAAAGCAAAACATGTAATCTGTCCATCAGCCCACCCGTTTTTGAGCCGATCTGCGTACAGCTAAGGTCTCGAAATCTCGTACAATTTTTCTCCTTTTTATATACAATTTTTTGTACTTCTGTTGATTCTGCTATTGAACTCATTACTGTGGGATATGTCATGATCTGTGGTAATTTGAACCGGAAGATATTTGTTGGTTTCTTCGTTGCACGTGACCATCGACTAGTTGAATCGTATCTTTGTAATATGCTCCTATTTGTTAGTCACATTTTACTGGAATTTCTAGATCGTCATGGCCGATATAAATAAATCCAGAATTATTCTCACGTGTTTTATTCTGAGGTATACTAAATACAGCTGTTTTGTCGATTAAACTCCTTCATAATTTGATCCTGTTTACTTCAAATTTATATCCCAATAAATCTCAATGCCAAGTACATATATATATATATTTATATTTATATATACATATATATTCAGGAGCTATTGTGCCCGAGGTTTTATTGAAATTGAAGATGCTACAGGTATTCAGAGTTTGACAATGCGTTAACCAGTAACACCTAATATGAATCGTACCCACCAAGTGAAATCGAACTTCCTCGCTTCTGTCTTCTGATGATATATTTGATGGACTATCAATATATCTAGAATCGTCTGATCTAATTGGGCAAGCGATTGCAGTAGGTGTTGAGCACAGAGTTCCCACTCGTGATATGGTGAGGATGCATGACCGAGCGCCTTCAGTCAGGTGAGTCCATTAAAACTAATGTGGTCAGCATCCAATGTCGAAAACTTAAAGAGGTATTTATTTTGGGGATTTATTTACCGCTACAAAACAATTCGTTCCAGGTCATCGGGTTACAGATAACGAATCTCATAAAAACTTACCAAATGGCGAAACATAGTGTTGAGGATTGTTGTAACTAAATATGAATCCAGTTTACATGCATTTCTGGCCTACCTTTTGCATGAGAGTGTCAAACTGTGAGTCATTTATGGAGTCTTACGGGGTAATCAACAGCGAGATTCACAAGCAATGGCAGGAGGATGTACAATATATAATTTAACGTAAGCGATAAATCTATAACAGTTAAAATAAAACGTAAGCAAACAGAAACGTCGTTATTTTAGGTGTTGAGTCGAATATCGACTTATGCGTGCAATAATGAGTCCATATGAAAAAACACCTTGTACAAAGTACAACTAAATAAATAAAAGATAAATGGTTAGCAACAATCCCGTAAAAACTCTCAAGGTTACGAGTTATAACAGAGATAACAAGTAAACACAAAGGGCACAAAATTATTGAACAGCTGTGATCATACTCCTAGTGAGTGAAAACAGAAGGAGTGGTGGTTAAGAAAAGCCAACCTGCTGCATTTTAAGTGGTGATTAACATATAACGAACCAGAAATTTATTATCAATATTTCTTAGCTTCCTATTTATACCCAGGAATAGTGATCTGAGAAAGGAGTAATCCAGGATTACACTATTAGGGTGTGAAAGCTGACTTCTTTTATGGAACTATGAACGTTTGGAATCTTCTATTGTAGTGCTTACTGTCTGCTGATGCCTTCAAAGTTTGATTTAACTTCCACAATTCTACGAAATGTGATGGTCACATTTTACATGATCTTCAACACTTACCATAGAAGTGATCGAGAATCTAAATTACTTTGATTGCTTTGGAGGAGTTGTTAACATTATCTTTAGTTTCAATTGCATAGGGGTAGGCAACTTTAGGATTTATTACTCGATCATCCTATTAATTATTTATTGTTTTGTTCCTCATGTTCTGAGATAATCAAATATACTGAGTATCTTTCTGTAATGAATAGACTTTTCGTTAATTGAGACACGTGCTTTAAATACAAAATGTCTGTCATTTTTCTGTCCAATGAAGTTTGAACAGAATGCGTTTAAACCAGTCAAAATGGTTTACTTTGTATCGGGGTAATAGCGGGTTAATCAGCCTGATTTTCTGTAACTGCGTGTTTATGTTTCAAATATGAGTCTTATACAATCATCGAACCATCAAATTAACTGTAATCCTCGTAATGAAGAAGTGTTCTCATTCGTGGAAGAAAATGGCCGCCCCAAAGAAAGATGGACACCTCTTGGTGCAAACGCAAGTCCTGAACCTTGTTATCATGCGTTTGAAGAGAATCATGTAGATAATGAATTTGACCATGAGTCTGAATTATCCCGCCTAGCCATAGAAAATGAACACCTCAACAGTTTGTTGATGGCTTTTACTTCTCACATCGCCCAGGTAATTTTCCAACAAATGTGTTATGCTAACTTCTGAGTACGACTCCTCCTATATGTATAAGAGGAGTTTTATTTGGAAGTTATAGAGTTTTGGTCATTGTTTCAACATTTGTATTTTAAAGGCAAAGAGAATATTATTTAATGAGTGAATCTTGTTTTTACTATCCACCAAATGTCTTTTCCTCAGGTTTTTAGTCAAGATATTGTTGTTAGTAATCTACACTACCGACGATTTATTTCTCTTTAACACGGCCATCTATAAAATTCGAGGCGGTTCTTCAACGGTTTAAGCAATTGAATTTCAACCATCTGGCCACAATTTTAAACTTCGCTTACCAACATTAGGTTAGGACAATCGAGTAGTATCAGTCTTCAGTAACAAGGATAGTAAGTCAGTTAGCATTTGTTAGTTCTCTGGGTTTTTCTCCATAGGAGATCCAGCTCATTGTAAGTGTTCGCTCTTTGAGGCTGTTACCAAATGTTCGCGTAGTGTGTCCCAGTCATTAATTACTAGATGAATAGAACAGAATTCCACTGAGTTTATTTGTTCATAGTTTGTAATTCTTCTTGTAACGGGCTAATAGATGTTTGTTTCTTGAAAGAAAAATGAGACTTGCTAAAATCTAAATGATTAACATATATAATACTAATATAAAGTCACTTCGCGTTCTACGATGAAATAAAACGTATGGTTTTAGTCTCTACACTTATGTTGTTGCTCGAAGCTAAGTGCACAGATCTCTACCTGGTTAATGATTTGCTAACATCTGGGAATTTGGGACTCTGAAATCAATCAGGTAGTCACGCACAACTTTCTTATTTTTTAGCGCTGCATCTAGGTAGAGGCTATTCGTTTATCTCATTTAAAATGTTCAGGGAGGTAGTGACAATTAGGTAAACTCGAAGATAGCTTTGGGCGCAACCGTATGCTATTAGATGAATGGACAAAATTCTAGCCTAACCGGAAAATTAGTTTATCACAGCTCCACTCTTTTCACACAGTCTCTAATAAATTCAAAAGTGATCCAAACAAGAACCGTTAATTCTCACGCAAAACGCAAAGTTACCCAGATAAAAGTTCAAGTCCAGTGTTGCATACTGTTGTGTGCTTTAGCAGGAAACTACGACACAAAATTGCTGAAGCCAAGATTAAGGCAGATGTTTAGTGATCATATAAGGTCGAAATTCTTGAATACCACGAAGTCAAGTTTTAAAGATGTAAGAACCAGTTTCCTAGACGAGCAAACATCCTACTCACGTCAAATATCTATGTCACTTCGAGTTCAACCCGTTAATTTATCGTACATTCAGTAAAAAATATCCCTCGCCCCTAAGACAAATATTCTTTTTAAGAATTTTGAACATGAGCTCTAGTTTATAAATATTTCCTCTTTTTCGAGATGTTCTACTGGTTCTTATGAGAAAGTGACATTTGTATGTTCATTTCAAAACTTTTTGCTTCTCTTATACCTGCGAATCCGTTCACTACTAGGTCATTTATTTATTTGATTGCTCGGTATTTAATATGGGTTATGCAACATCGATTTAAAAATCTGTATCTATTTTGATAGAATTGTTCTTTGGTGAGATATTATTAGCATTCTGGGAAGTAGCTTTAAGTTTGTATGTAAACAAAAACACAAAGTATATATTTTAATGACACCATGGATATTGGCTACATTGTTCTTGGCAAGGAGTTACAGCAAGTGTATCATAGCTAAACTTCAAGGTGTAAAAAACTTTATTCTCATTGCAGGAAAACGTTTGAAAATATTCATTTAACGTCTTCTAGATTTAGAAGGGGCCGTTTAGAAAACATAAATTTAATCATTTGTGATTACTTTTTTCATCGTCTTTACTTAGCTTATGTATTTTTCCATCATTGTCTGTGGATTAAGATCTTATGTATTCATATCAGTTTGATTTATAATATATGAAATATCTATGTTACATTTTTATTGAATGGAAAGTTATCCACAAATCTACTGAAAAAATCTTATTTTGGCACTGAAGGTCTTTTGATAAAATCTATGATTTTTGCATGGTGCTAATCAATAATTGACCATTTTCATGCTGGGTATATCATTACAAGCCACTGTAAAAATGACATATATTCTTATTTTACAGGTGCAATTTCGTCTAGGGCAAGTAATAAATGCTGAGTCTGATTGCAGAGAGCTCATGCTTAAGTCTCTCGAGGAATTTGCCTCCAGAGGAATCCCTGACCTACAATCACTGGCGGAACAATGCAGTAAAGTTAGTTCTTTGGTCGATTTTAAGTCATTTTATATTTTTTGGTAAACCGAATTCGGGAGCATCATAAAACTGTACGTATACGTCTGCAGTTTGGAGATGAGAACAGTTTATTTATTTGACATTTGGCCTATGACTGCGAGTTATTTAGGTGTCGTATAAAATGAACGTTATGTTACCTGATTTAACTTTATACGTTAGTGAAAATCCTTTTGATTGCTGATAGAAAAAAGGTATTTCGGTAATCTTCAAATACTGAGAGTAGTTCAAAGCGCCGCATCTGCAAATATTCATCGCTATTACCATTAAGTTGTTAAGTTCTGATGGTTTCATCTTTTATGACATTAAAGATTTTGTTTTTATTTTTATTTTTACTTAGCTATTACACGTTATGAACATTAAATATGATAGGATTATAAAAGCTTTTGTGACTCACTTTGCATTGATAGTATTCGCTGGATATTTTAAAATCTCCCTTTAAAAAGCACTTTCACGGTTTATGCTGAATTGTGCTAAGACTTTTTCACTTCACGTGAATCGTTTTGAACTCCAGTCACACATGAGTTATCACACAACAGGCGTAATTTTCATGAAGCGAGTAATGCAGAAAATGCTGTTTTCACATTTTTGTTATTGCTGCTATCAATGCTTTTAGAAATATTGTTCATTACAGCATTACTATTCTAAATGCCATTCACACGTCAAAAGTTATTATTAAACTTTATTTCACGAAACTTGTAGAAGCTCCGAAAGACTGGGAGACAGCTGATAAAGTTTGGTTGCTATTATTTGGAAGCACGGCTACTTTTGAGACTGAATCCTCACTTAGATCATAGTTTTAATCCAGAATATAACTCGATAAGCAAATCTATATAAAATATTTTAATTTCTTAATAATTTTTTTGAATAGTTAACTATATCTATAGGTTGTTATTCGATATTTTTAAAGATTTTTATTTTGATAATGGGTATATATATATGTATATATATGTCTGTACATTTAGTTATCTTCAGAACCCCAAGCATGTACTTCAAGTTTAGATGGACGACCTCGGAAAATGATTGAACAGCTGAAAAGACATCTTGATGACCTAGAAAGATTCGCTTATGAGGTAATCTTTTGTTGTTCTAAGAACAACCATTTCTTACAATTATGCTTCTGATGTTCTCAGTAGTTTTAACATCAACATTATTTCCTCTTTTATGTCTGAAATCCATTGATTCATATTTTACTTAGCAATCTAAATGGTTCTTAAGTATTTGAAGTTTAAGTGCCGCCGTTAGAATGAACTTCCTTTGGATTGTATAGTAATACTAAGTCCTTTTGTCCGAATAATTTAGTATTCATAATCGCTATGGGTTTGAAAAAACTTACGTTTTGTTTCTTTACTCGTATGATCGGTGAATTTTGATCAACACACCTCTGTTTCTTTTCAAATTCAACTTTTGTGGTAATTTGACTTCTTTGAGTGTTATTCATATTTTGTTAATTGACTTAATAAGTACTTATTAGTGTGAGTTGTAGCATCAGATAAAAGTATTCTGTAAATCGTATTCAATATCATATATTAACACGAAGCATGCACGCAAGCCAACTAAGTAAATACTTGATATAAAATTTAAAAACGATTGTATTAAATTGTTATTCTTGTCTTAATATGTCAGGGAATTCTAGGTTACTCAGAAAAGTACAGATATCTGTAGTTGAAGATTCGACACTCCACCCTATAATTTACCTATATCAATTCATCTATCTACAAACTGCCCAGTACTGGTGAGTAATAATTCAATAACATACTGATGAAAATACTTAAAGTGAATCTAACCTTAACGAATTTCCAAGAGTTTCCATATAAGGCAAGTATTGGTTAAATGAAGTAATAACTAGTTAGTTTAGTTTTGTTTAGAGGACATTCGACTGAAAATACCAGTCAACGATTGCATTTGTTGAACCTTGATTCTTGACAATCGATATTTAATTATGCTACTTAGATAAACGTAATTTGACATATAATCTGTTCGTACTAGCTATGATAGTTTTATGACTTTTACTAATATAGGATATCTAATTGAAGTTCCAACCGTTACCACTACCTTGACGTGGTGGTTGGGTTTACCTATCCTAGTGAATCATTCGAGCTATACTGGCTGGAACAATCGTTCCTCAAGGTTCTACCAGGGAGATCGGTTGGAGAATGATAACACTAAAAGCAGAAAACCCAAGGTCTGGGGGCGAAGTCGTACTGCTGACTGTATAGAGGTGTATCGGCAGTATGGTGCTTCCCTCAGACAACCAACATAACAGCGATGCTGCCTTCCCACAGGGTGGGGTGGGGTTAGAAGAGGTCGACCATTAAAAATGCACACCTCACCAACGTAAGAATGTATAGTCACTAGTCTCGATTCCCACGACTATCACGTTAAACGTCATTTAACTTATGACGTAAGTTAATTTATCATTTTATACATAACCTGTTAATTGAATAAATATTCGTCTTAGTACGTTCTGGTTTTGAATATTTATTTGCCTAATAATATACATGAGAGAAAGTTTACTGATTTCTTGAAAACGTTAAGTTGCGTTTTATTTAACTCACGGATTCAAAAGAAATTTAAAGTACTTTACTTTAATATTTCACTGTATTGTTACTTCGTTTATGCTAAATTTAACAGTAATATACTATTAAAATTCAATATTCAGCTTACGATTATGATTACGTTAAATGAGAAATAGTTTAACATCTTTCAAGTTTTACAATATTTTTTTCTCTATACGATTGTCTTTTTAATAAATTAGTTGCCTAAAACTTAATTTATAGTAACAATAATTTCTAAACTTCTTTTATTAATAAATAAATTTAATCCTTTGCATAAAACATAAAACGATTTCACTGGTTGGAATCATGAGTCAATTGAAGCTAGACCACCATGGAAAACCTGGAAACACTGGACGGCCGTTTCGTCCTAGTATGGGACTCCTCAGCAGTGCGCATGCACGGTCCCGCCCCCCTCCGCGAGATTCGAACCCAGGGCCTATTAGTCTCGCGCCAGGCGCTTAACCAACTAGACCACTGAGCCGGCATCCAACGGTGTTAATGTCTAACTTCAACCAATCTCCACAAAACCCATCCGGATAATAAACGATTTATTTCATTTTTTTATAATAAGAATAACATCTCCATTCATTCATTTATTTTATTCATCTAGAAAATTCATTCATCAAGTTTTATTTACAATTTCATTGGTTATTTTCATTTATTGATTTTTACCTTACGTTTCATTTATTTGTAAATATAGATATTTCCATAACGCCTACGCATTTATAGTTTACTTTATAAATTTCCTACAAGTATTATACTAATTCATTTCATGTTCGTTTTTCCTACAACCGATTTCATCTATTTGATAATAATCGATAATACATTATCCTTGTTTAATTTATCACAAAACAAAAGATATGAGCATTATGAATCTTAACTATTAATCAATGAGTAGTATTTAAGAATAACCATCAGATATTTTATTCTTAATCTAATTTCATATGAGTTCACTTGATTTTTCTTTTAACTACTTAAATAGATAAGTGATGACAAATAAATTAACCTTGTCAACTGACTATAAACGATTACCATTATGAACAAGAATAAATTAAGTTTAGAAAATCAGTGTTGTTCACTTCTTATATGAAATAGCTTATAACAACTTGGATTTTTATGAAACATAAAACAGTTGAACATTATAAGGTTCATTCTGAATTGTTTTATCTGTTTACTGCTTTATTCCCTTTTACCTTCTGTTATGTAACAGTTTTAAAAGTGTGTTTATATTTCAATTCAAACAAAACATTTTATCCATTATTATAAAACAAACTATCACTGGAGTTTCAGTACATACAACCACTTTAATATATAGAGACAAGTGTAAAAGATTTTCGTTTTGTTTCCGAAATTTAAGGTCTATTTATTGCGATTCTCTTCACGGAAAGTATATTTCCAAAGATGCTTTCGAAAAATATGTCATGTGCTGCTGCATTTGAAGACTGAAATCCATATAAAGGACAACTTGGATAAATTCAAGTTGCTGTTGGGCAAAAATAGGCAATCAACAAAATCAGCAAATCGACTGAAGTTTGAACAATTAAACAACTATATTCTGACTCATTCAGTGAGCGGTATTGTGGGATTTACTACAGTGTAAACATATGATCTTCAACCTGTGATTGCAGTTACATTTGGAATCGCAAACTAGGTTGGGATAAATACTCTGTGTTGGTTTATTTTGAGTGGTTTACGAATTACCAATGGTTAAAATAAAATTATCTTATTGTTTAAAAATACCTACTAGAAAAGAAATAACTTTTATAACACAATGGTTTTAAATTTTGTATAGTGATTATGATTTTATACTCCGCTTAACAAGATATTTGTCAAATAACAAAAAGACAATACATATACAAACGAAAAAGTACAGCAGGATAAAAGATATTTATAATATTTATAATAATAGAAGGATACTTTAGCAAACGATCGGAATGTTCTTTTATGTTACACAGTTTCCTGAGTGTGTAGGAATTTTTGGGAATTCTCACTAAAGTCGTTTCAAATTTTGTGGTCTTCTCCAGTATCAACGGAAATTTTATCGTTGTATTTATAAAGTTCATTAGATCGCCTCAAACTATACAAATTTAATGTAAATTTTAGGAATTCCCCTAGAGTCATTGGAAATTTTGACCAGAAACGTCAAACAAATGGAAACTTTATATTGTTTCGTCGCATTTCCCATAAATGTCCCCAAGGGTTTTAGTAAGGTCTCCCATAAATTTCCAGGAAATCGGTCCAATTTCTGCAAAGTTGTGAATTTGGACCTTTATCTTTTATGTGACGTTACTGTATGTGGAGAAGTGAAAAGAAAAAGAAAACCTGACTAATTCTGGGCTTTATGTAATAATTGGTTCAATGATCGTTTAAGCCATTTAACTTTAATTTATATCTCACTAAGAATTTGACGATGAAAAATCCAGTTCAGTTAATTTTTACACTTCTCTATTTACAATTAATATCGACGAAATCCTTGATATCAGAGCATTTCAAAACACCTTTCGTCAAAACGACTATACTTCCAGGCATATTTGGTTGTTATGTAAAGGTATCCACTACTTCCGGACTTGTGTATTTCGGTCTAAAGAGCAAAACAAAGTTTCGGATTATTTTTTAATATTTTATATATAGGAGTGTTCATTACACTCCAACAGTGATAACAGAACTTTCAGTCATAACAGCCTTAAATGTATCGTAACACTACTAATATCCATTCGAGTACTTTTCAAGAGATAATAGTTGGAGCAAGCACTTAAATTAACAAAAGTTAGTTTTATTTTAATCTCTTTAGACGTAGGAATAAATAGTAGAGAGAATAAAACAATTTATACTTTTGTTTAAAAAAGAATTTATTAATGATCGAAAATGAAATGTATTCTTTACAGAACAGTAGACATCAGCCCTCGTTGACCCTCGTAAACAACCATAAATACCTACTTGATTACCTAAATAAATTCAATTTGTAGTCATACATCTTTCTCAGTTATTCAAATACTTAGTTAACACTCAAATACCTTTTAAGTGGGCTTATTTAAAGTTAATATAATTTCAAAATAATTCATCCTTAGTTACATTTGGGCGTAATTCTTGAAACTGTAAATAAGAATAACAATCCACTGTAATTCTGTTACACAGTTGAAACAAATCGGATGTAGTGATTTTTTTACAAATGAATTTTTGTGAGTTCGTTTAATTTTACTTTATTACTTCTGGTCGATAAAACAACAACTCAAGATTCTTTTGGTGAATATTCTACACTTGTATTTAGGATTAATATCCATTACTTCTTTTAACAACTATTAAATCTATTAAATCCCGTAAAATTATTTCCAGATTTCACTTTTGACTACTCGTTGGATGATTAGTAAGTAGCACCCAACCTTTGTAATTTTATATAAGAGTATGCGAATATAGTTCCCATTCGTTTCATCTAACAAAATCAATTCTTGTTCTTTTTTTCTGTATGTGAGTTACTTTGTGTTAAGAAGAATGAGCTATTTTAATGGTTCTTTTTGAGAGAAAAGTTTCTAATAGCGAAGTTGTTAGTCATGGCAAGAATGTAAGGAGCACACGGAATTTCAGTTGCAGCTATACAGAAACAGTTTCGAATAAGTCTAAAATGTCCTTCTAAATTGTGAACTTTAATGACTTTTCGTTATTGATCACCAATATCATTTGGTAGTTATTGTTCGGTAAATTTTCAGATGAAAATTAAAGTTTTGATAATGATACTAAAATGCGGAAAATTATTTTTTTGTATAAAGATTATTTTGTTTGCTTGTCTAAATCAATATTATTTAATGTATTATTCCTGTTGCTTTGTCTTCTTGAAGACTGGTGAGCAAAGTGAACCGCCAACTCAAGCTATCCTAGAGAAGCAGCGTTTAGTACTAGAAGGCCTACGAGAGAAACTTGAATTGAATATTTCCAATGTGGATAAACTTCCAGCTGCTGAACTGCAACAAGTTGTAGACAAGGCTGTCAATCAAGTGAGTTCGATGATCATCTATCAATTATTTCGTAATGAAATGTCTTTGGAATTATTATTCCAAACATACAATTTAACGTGAAAAAAAAATAACAGAAAAAAATATTTGAACTCATTTTATTTTGTCAACAAAAGCTGGTGTTAATCTAGTGGAATATTTTATTATCAAACTAGATATTTTAATATCTACAAACAGCTCGAAATTTATTTTTTTATAACTAGTAGTATTTACCAGTAAAAAATAGTCACAGTTTTAAGGACAACTCACAGAATTCACAACCTTATTTTCCAACAATAAAGACGTTACTAGTCAGCTGCTCAGATTATAACTACATAATGTCTATCTTAGTTATGTAAAGGTGACGAACCGACCATATTTTAAATTCTTAAATCTAATCCGAATATAGAAAACCTGCTAATATTAATTGAAGGATTTAAAAATGGAAGTTGTAAATGTGAATAAATATTATTAACTAACTAGAATTTTATGAAAATGTTTATCAAGTTATTTCATATATAGATCAGCAGTCAGTAATTTAATTGGTTAACTTGTTGAAAAGATTTATCAAGTTAATCATATATGATATCAGGCTAAAACCTCAATCTCATTTATATTAATATTTAAAAAAACATTTTCAAAGTTCTTAATTCAAGTCAAACCTAATGACATTGGGAAGAAAAGTCGTAGTGTATTTAGTTTTGTGGAGATTATTTATTTTGTAGTGTCAAACACGTGGAAACGTAGCACTTTACCCGGTTACGTTTGGGATATTTTTGGAAGCATTCATTGTCTCAAAACATTTGTTCTTTAGGCGCGTGTTTAAAATCTGATTAAAAGATATATACGACGCGTCTTAAAAGTGGATAATCGTTAAAATTTACCAAACTACTTCCAGTGATCTGTATTGTTTCTTTCATCAGATCGCTTTAAGTTGAACTTCCAAAACCCCAGTCAGCTGTTATTTTATGTAAATCGTAGGAATAATTCACCTATTTTTCTTGTATCAACTTACTGCGACATTACATTAACAGTTTTTCCATTTAAATTCAGTTTTTAAATCCTGTAAAAGTTAACGAAAAACTTGTGGAACAGTTGAAAACTCAAGTGAATGATTTAGAACGGTTTATTGATTTTCTTCACGGTAAGCTATAAGACGTTTCTTTATTGTTTCATTTACCTAAATTTTGGTTTTTTTTAGTCATAGAAGTGTTATATAAAGAATTTGTGCCTGAAAAAATGCCAGTTTATTTCCCACTAGTTCGCTTGAATCTGACCTATTAGTTTTTTAGTACCCTTTAGTCATACATATTGATGTAAACAAAGCACCGCAACTGTAGAAAATAACTAATTATTTGATAGTTACACACTATAATTGCAACTAATCTACTGGTTTACTTGATCCAACCACTTTCCATATCGTTAATTGCGTCTATCAGTCTCCTTGGATAAAAATCCAGAGAGCATCGATTTTCTACCGATTATCTTTAAGCATCTTGAACCTTGTGTTTGAGATAAGTTGACTACAGAGTATTGGCAAAAATACTGAAATATTCTTATAATCGCAAATCTACCATACGGTTGTCATATTCTGACGATTCAACTAGAATACCAGGCAGGAGCATCTTTGATTCATTTTTCAATGTATGGCTTTATCTAGATATATTTCAGGTTCATATAAAGGCATTTCACGAAAGTTATGAACTCATATCTTCAGAAAGCTTCTTTATGTTCAACTTTGAGGCGAAGAAATTATTGGTTCGTTAATGATTTAGTCGTAACAACATCATTCATAAAGCACATAATTTGATGAAATTCCATCCCACAGTAATTTCTAAATTGCCGAAAGATGTACACAAGTGTATTCAAAACTGTTTCTGTATTACTATTTTTCTATACTTTCTACAACAAATTTTTTTCTGTTTGAGTTAACTTGTGATGTAAACTACGAATATTTAACAATCTTAACAAATCCCTATACTGATATTAGCGATTGCGTCGAGATTTGTCAAATGATTTATTTGAAATAACATTTTTTTAAAGAACTTATTTCAATTAGGGCACTTATAGAGTGTAAAATGACTCAAAACAGTGGCAACACTACTATGTGGTATCAAGTGAAAAAGTGTTTATTTACTCGTTTGAGGGAAACAATAACTAGATTATGTACATGACAATATTCCTTTTTAGTGTACTAACAGGCATTTTATTCTTATTTTTTACTGAAACTTGGGTTGAGTTTCACTACACTAAAGGAAATGCGATAGATTTTTTGGCGGATATTTTCTTGATTACTTTTTACTTTTTATCTGATGATGTGTATTACTGTCATACAACTGTGCCAAGTTGCTCACACTGACACAATCAACCAGTTGTTCTTGGCTAATGGCCAACAAAAATCATGTTACATTAGTGTTGTTGCTTTCATTTTTATGGTGTAAGTAAATAATAAAGCATGTTTAAGCATGAAACTTTTATTTTGTAATAAATATAGATCAACTGATACATTTAAATATTGCAAGCAAAAAACATCAATCTGTAAGTTAACTAGTTTTTCGTAGTTATTGGAAAAGTTCGTATAATATGTGGTCAGCATATACTTTATTTTGTCAAACATGAGGACCAATTCACATCTAACTTGGATGGAATTAACTATATAGAACAGGAAATCTACTTATCGATTAAAGTCAGTTGGCATGTTCAGAGATGTATCTGGCTTATAATTTTGTGTACAACTATCTTTGAAGCTTTCTTAACCTTAATTAACTTTCGGGCACTAAAAAATGGAGTATTGAAGTACTGTGACACTGAAATATACTACGTAAATAACTATACCTGTATGGAGAAATGGTAGAGTAAACCATCTTAACAACCTGTGACTTACATTGAATATGCTAAGTCTTCCTGCTTCCGTTTCAAAGTTATGGTTCATTTTCTTGCTTCATAACACATAAACTCGTATAATTCAGAACACTGTAACAGAAACAACAATAACACAAACGCGACGTGAATATGTACGTCTTTTTTGTAAATATCTTTATCTATCGACACGCGTTTGAGTCGTAGCATGAACATCAGAACTGGTATATCGGCAAATCCAGATGACGAGTCATAAATAGGGCGAAACACACTTCTTGGATTTCAGTGTTAGCCACAATCCAACGTTTCTAACAACAAAACCAAGTGCCTTTACTGAAATAATCCATACAGAATAAAAATACATGTCAACATATAATGTAGGAAATTCAGTCCTTAATATCAGCATCAGGACAATTCGAACATTTGCTGATAGTTAATGAAAGAATTTTGTTTATAATTAGTTGTACAGAAGAATTTAACAGTTTTATTAAGGATTGTATAACGATGTTAATTATAACTTATCCTTTAGATGAATTAAGTGGAAATCACGTAGACACTTCACTGGAAAGATAACTTGTTAAGCCATTATAAATTATTTTTATTATTACGCTCAATGAAATATCCCGATACAATAATTGAATAATTAACTTTGAATAGACAAATTAATAAAAATAAAAAGACTAATTAAAATTTTATTCATTAAAGAAAAGTCGAACTTGAACAACTTTTAATCTGAATTACTACTAAATCGTTTATTTCCGAAAATGAATTTCTTCATAGAATTCGATTGTATGCACATAATTTATTCTGACTTTCATTATATTAACGAATAAGTTATGTAAGTGAATATAAATTTATCGTATATAAATACACGGTTCAAAACGTAAGAATATTTGGTGAAAATATGAAAATCTATTCTATTTTAACCTAAGCATGGTTTAAACCATCTACTGTGCTAAGTCATTTTACTGCTTTTAGAATTTATCTTCAAAACAATCTTAGTTGATCATGTTTCAGTTGAAATAATGTAACCTTAAGAAATCAATTAAGCGTAAAAAATATCACTTGAATTGCTCACTTACGCTTAACAATTTAAATGAATAGCTAGGATTACAGCTATTTTGAAGAACTAACAAAAAAAACGAATCTATGTTAATCTATCCAACAGTAAAATCAAAGGATTAATAAAACAGTTCATAGTCCTATAAGATCATTTAAGCAGTTTGAAATGTTTTGTGTAGTAACTAGTGATCATAGGTTCTTACTATTTTAGATGTCATTTAATTTTGATGCTTCAAGATATGACAAAACATTTATCTAGTTGGACATAACTGTAGACTGATAGTGTATTAACAAGTGGAAAAAGCCATTTACTTGGCACGTTTTTATACTGACTTTGTCTTCATCTTTTTATAAGAATCGATTTAATTATGAAGTAAATCACAAGTACCTTCACATATGGTAATAAAACTTTATGCGGGTGAGTAGTTATTTGAGGTTATTCTAGGGAATCATATTATTGTCAGTACTTAAATGTGTGTATGTATGTAAGTATACTGTGTTACCGTATTCAGTGCTGATCACCCAGGTGTCGACCACTTTTTAACTGATAATGGGAAATAAAATTTTCTAAATATATATCATACTCCAGAACCTTTTCCTATGATTACTACTGATTGATTTTTGATTTCTTATTCAATTTCTTTTAACAATATTATTTACGAGACCTTCTAGTTCTCCATACATGTAATTTGGCTGAGATCAGTTTGTTTGTTTCCTATCTTACATTTTGTATGATAGAGGCTGTTAATTTAAACACCTACCTACATTCACTTGGTTGTGTCATTACAACTCACTTTTGTGTGAACATTTGACCAATTATACTTTAAGTGAAATCAATTTCTAATAATTTAGTAACCCACTGACCTTGTTGTTTTATGATGTCAAACAAGTGTGGTAAAGTTTTACAATCTAAATAACAAGTTTTTTAAATGTTTAGTGTATTTCTAGGGTCATTGAAATACTTATTGGTCGTATGTTTCAAACTGAGTAGAGAGAACTTTTATTTGTTCCTCAGTTTTCAGTAGTTGTTTAGCTGAAATCATTTCGTAATTTAAGTTATTCTTGATTTAATAATCATTTCCTAATGAGATTACCAATTCTACTGTACTCATTTCTCGGTTTGTTATGTTAAGTCCTGTCACTGCCTTCAACTGTGCCATCATTCACTCACGCTAACAGTTGAAACAAAATATTTTCAAGTAACTATTTCACTGTACTATGTGCTTTCTAAAGTCGAATTTAGATTCAATATTTTTCGAAATTATTATGGGAAGTTACTCCTCAATTATAAGTACTCGTTTCCCTTACTAATCAACAATAACCTACAATTTATGAGCTAATTCATTGATACCTGAATCCAGTAAATGAGTTGCGCAAAAAAAACTAATACTGTATGAAATATCCAAGAAATCTTTGTTAAGTTAGTTAATATTGGTTAGGGATAACATCATGGTGCTCATCAGGTTGAAGTTATTACTACTTTGTAAAGATAATTTGTATAACGACCCAGTTGCAGTGTCATGAGGTAAAAATTAAACGGAACGTGTGTCCTGAATTCTACTGCTAGCTACTGCCAATCTGTTATTAAAGAGTGTGATTAAGTTTCTATGTTGGGGCAATCCTTTGAGGGTATACATATGTGTCAACACGGACTGATCAACAGAAAAATACAAATCCCCGTAAATATGATTCAGTATGGTTTAAAAAAATTAGTTTTATTACTAAACTATCGACCGTTGCATAATAATGATAAAAATGAGTACATTCTAGTGAACAATACATTTTTGTTATTATCCATTCATTTTCAATAATTTTAAATGGATTCATACCGCTAATCAATAATTTTCTCTTTTATATCATTCGATAATTTTAAGGTTTCTAATATGAATATTTGTTAGTCTGCTTTAACGCTTAGTACGATGGTGGAAATTTGATGGATTGCCGAATATTAAATATTGTTTATACAGATTAGGCTTACACAGAGGATATAGCCAAGTTATGACAGCCTACTAATCAACAATCTTGAATATTGTGAATAGAATTACAGATCATCACTTTTTTTACTCATTTAAATAAAGGCATGTATCAACGAAAAATAAATTCGAAAAAATTTACCTAATCAAAAGTCATTGTATACAGAAATAATTGTTTTGACAAATTTTGTTGAATTACTGGAATTTATCAATGATACTAAACCGTAACTATCAAAATTAGTTTATCAAGCCTACTTAGTTTACACCAAACATTATAGTTATTTTATAATGAGAAAGATTGAAAGAATAGTCCGTAGCAAGTAGTATTTGTCTACAAACCTTCTTTTACTGATCTACACATTATTATTCTAAGTAATGGTTAGTTGAATGAAAGAAAATTATTTTGCGAAGTAATTAACTATTTATACATTGAATAGTTCTCTTACTTTCGTAATTTATCAACTTATTGCTTTTTATCAATATAAAAATCCACGCCAGTTTGAGCACTGCATTATTTCGTTGTTATGATATACTATCATACTATTTTTGTTAATCTGTTATCTTTTCGCTTAGGCTCTGGTGCATGCAGTGATATTTTAGCTAAAGCATTAGCTGATTTCAAGCGTACACACCAACAGTTATCAACCAATAATGAAATATCATCGTGTTGTTATGATTCTAATAGATCACATACACAAAATAATGATAATAATGATGACCATGATCTAGACAATAGTAGTATATTTTCATCACATATTCATCCTGGTGTACAATTAGGACATAGTCGTCATCTTCATTCAGATTATCAACATAGTCATACAAATGATTATAATACTGATGGTATCGATGCCTATTTAGAGGTATCTCTCTATTTGTGTGTTCAGTTTGAATTGATGTTGTGTTTCCAATTTTCGAAGTTAACATTAATCAAGCTTGTGTTTGATCTAGTTGAATCTGAATTTATTTTTGAGATTTTGACTCACTAGCTGATTGAAAGTGTTGATTTATAAAGAACATATGAGATGCTTAATAGGTATTAACTTTTAGTCTATGCATACTGAATATAATGTTCTAAAAATCATAATTTTGATAAAAGAATCGTTTATGAATCCTCATCATATTAAGACACTAATGTATCCGCACAAAGAATATTATTTTCAACAAATTCTCTTCGGGTTCTACAATTATGTATCCAGATTAATAATTCAAAAAGTACCCAGATTTAAGGCAAAGCACATTGTTTAAAGTTATAACATGTGAATTTAGGATTGTTAATCAAAGTAAAATTTTCAATGTTGAGATGACTAATATGCTGTGTTAACTTGAATCAGCTTATACATTAAATGAAATTCTGTGGTTTATAATCAAAATGAATATGGATCAGATTGTGTGAGAGATATAATAGTGTAATTACAAAATCGATCAAATGTTTGTGGAAGACTATATTGTGTCAGAATTTGTCCACAGGTCGTTTAATGATTCAGGGTATAGGCATAATGTTTATGTGTTCATGTAAACACTTGTTGATTAAAAATAATTGTTCTATGTATTATTGCTTTGTGTGTATATACGTGCAGTGTTTTATCAGTTGAAAACTGTTTCTTTACTTTTTTTCAAGTTTGATGTTGTATGGATGTTATTTTAACTGTCGTTTTTTCGTCTTCTAGTACTTTGTTTATTTGTTTTATGTGCTTCAAATAATATTTTTTGCTTAACCATACATGTTAGTTTGAATTGTCTGTCAAGATGAAAAAATAAGCTTTCTTTACGTCCCTAACCTTTTTACTTTTTTGTTTCTTAGGATATCACCACTACCGAAGAACAAGAATTAAGGCGTAGAGATAATAGAAAACGTGATGTCAGGGTAAACTGATAAAAGACTTGTTGTGTATTTATTATTATTATTAATAAGGGTTTTAATATTCAGGACTGGATGTTGATCACTCTTTATTGGGAATATGAGTTTCCTTTACAGATTCCCTTGATATAATCATTTTGTCACAAGTTTTATAAATTAAATAGATCGCAGCTAGTAAGTGAATCCATCCAAAGTTCATCAACTGAATTTAACTTATTAGATAACACGTTGAGGGTTCCAGGTAAAATGTCCCTGATTCAATTTTCAATCTGAAAACTAACAATAAGGTCCAACTGCATTCAGCTGACAAGTCCTAAATAAGATATAACGTGTTTTATGGGTCTTACTGGTAGCCACAGTCCATCTATCCTTATTATTTCTGTTTTGTTTTATTGTTGAAAATCGGAACCTAAGTTTTTTTTAATGTTTACTGTATATGTTATATTTCAGTTATTATTATTATTATTATTATCATCAAATAATCATGTTCAGAATATCGTAGTGTAAAGAAAACTTGTAGTAATTTCGTTAGTCATAAATCAATTATTTCTATATTGCAGTTGATGACATAAGTTTGAATTATGTAACTGATTCTTCTTCGTACTTGTAAAGGTGCCGTGTATTATCTTTCAATGGTGATTCAATTTTGTGATATATCTCAAGTGATAAATAAGAATTGTTTGGACATATATACATCATAAATAGTTGTAATGAGAAAAGTAAAATTACTACGTACTAAACTGAATTAACTAGTTTATTTATTTGATTAAGATAAAATACTGTTTCGAAACTTCCTTTAAATATGAGTAGTCACAGTATTCAAATCTCATTTTTTAATTGTAAAGTGAACGTTGGAATTAATCCAACTGTATTTGAAAATTATAGAAACATGATACTTTGTGTCAGTCACTGTGTATGATTAGCTAAAAGAAAACAATTCTAGTTGTCTTAACCGGAACACTTTATAAGAACTTTCGTCTAAATTTGAACGAGTAGTTCCACAGTAGTTGATCACGGAGTTAATGTAAGATATGGAGGAGAGAATCTAAAATTACAAATGATTTCAGAGATTGAACCCTAAAAATCCAACATTTCACTTAGCAAACATTACCACAGTTTTCACTTTTGACATGACTGATTAATTTAGTACACGGTCTCACTAACAATCAAATTCCGTCTTGTATAATGCTTAGTATCATATAGTAAGTATGAATCTTCGGTTTATTTTAGAAATCTCGATTCACTATCATTAACCTTATTCAACGAGCTATCACCCTTCTCAACCTGTTTGCAGCAAGTCAATTGGGTCAAGATCCTGATACATTGCTGACAAAATTCAACATGAATAAACATTCTCCTCATAAAGGTCAGAAATGTTGAATTTGTTTAACTTTATGTATGAATGTTCGTTAACACAGTTAATTGGTAAAAACATCAACTTATTGTAACTTTTACAAATTTAAGGCTATACATTCGCGTAATTTTTAAATAGATATTAATAATGGTTAAACAATGTATTAAATATTTGATAAATAATCATTCAATGCTTAGCCCGTTTTGATCTTTCCATAAAACCCTGATGATTTGTTTTGTTAGAGAACTTCTTGATATACAATTCAGTCGTCTACGTGCTAAAAGTCAAATAAGATATCGGTTGATATACTCAGTTCATCACTATGTTGAAAAGACTATCCAAAGTTAATTAAACATAATCTACTTGATGTTAAATAATTATCTTTTGGTAAATGTCGTACTGCGAAAAAATATCATCATGTAATGACGTGGTGGTCATTATTTTTTAAGGACTTGTCAACATTTCAATTTTACAGAGAAATTTATTTCGAAAAAGACATCTGAAGTTATGTTTTCAGGGTAGTATATTCAAATAAATATAACTGACTTTGTATACCCGTTGAACAATTATATTTTAGCGCTCAAGTAAAGTAAGACAAATAATAGTCTACTTTCTGGCCACTGTTTTAGCAAACTAATAGAAGTGTCTAATTCATGTTTATACATGAACGATAGTAAAACTGGTTCACATGTAGATTAGTGATGATACACAAAGAAGGATGATTGATCTGTTCGTAACGGAACCTAACAAAAAGTGGCCATATCAGAGATCTGTAGCTTACATCACTAGTACTATCGACTTCATTTTCACACCTTTGTACGACATTATATGTTTAAGCAGTGTTTTTGATATAATAGTTTTACTAGCTTAAATGTAGTAAAACGAATAAGTGAGCAGTGTTTTGACTTTCTACACCATAAATTTGGATAAGCCATTTAGTTAGTAAAGTGGTACTGTTCAGTGACAACCATCTCGTACACAAATTTAAAGTAATAGCTAGGGTAGGTTTAGATTCGAAACGATTCTAGTCAAACAATAGAGTATTTAAGTTTAATCCGTTTACCTCTTTAGGTTTTAGACACCTTATCGATTCTGTGTTTCCAGTTTTGACGTAACGTTTCTGTTCATTTTAATATTTCTCAAATCCCGTCTACTTCATATTTACTTGGAGTTTGTAAATTCAAAGCATCAGTCGACGAGTTTCTCTAAGAATTTTTACGTAGTTTTATCAGTCAGCTTGTCAGTAATTAACCCAGTTTTAATGAATACTGTTGGTTACATATGAAGTAAGAAGTCAAAAAAACAGTCTTGATTTCGCAGTATGTATATTGATATGTTTTTTTAAAACAAACAAATGTGAGTTTTAGTGCGATGGTGCTTTTTGTTCCATAGAAGGAGGAAAAAACGGTATATTTAAAGTATCACGTAGATCTATAAAAAAGGCTCAAGCTGCCATTTCGAAAAAAAATGTGCAAGAAAATAATAGTTACTTGGTAGTAGTATAATTAGATAACATAAATGTTATATTTATTGAGAGCTATTTTATGGTTTTTCTGGATATCTTGAAAAATAATTTCGCAATGAAAACTATCTTCCAAAAATGCCAAAATTACCAAACAAACTATCTCAACTATCATAAATCATATGATCAATAGTGAGTAGGTTTGAATTTTACAATTTTATTATTTCCAATAACATCGATTGGATTCAGATGTCAACAGGACACTTTTAGTGATCTGCCGTTTAATCGATACGTTATCATTATATGAAGATTAACCAGTCAATTGTCATTTTACAGAAGTGTCTATTATAGGTGGTAATCTACACATTCCCTTTTTCGAAATGAATCACTATACTACTGTCTCGGACATTTTGTTTATTTTCAGTTGACAAATCGAATTCATCTACCGTAGAGAAAGCCAAAACACAACACTGGGGAACAATTCGAGCTCGTCTTGAAATTGCTATAAATATGGTTCAAGAAAAAGTGGTTACTCTTAACACTTATAAACTAAGTAAAACACCAGCAGTCAATTTACACTTTACATATCATACAGTGCCAAATATGATTCACTCATGTACAACACAGTCGGAAACTCGTAATACAGTTCCATCTGGACGTGAAAGTCCAGATGGGAAAGCTAGTATGCCCGCATATGATACAACAGTTAGATCCTATGCATCACTACGTAAGGGTTTTAGTCAGAATGAAGTTCCCGGTACTCAAATTGCTTTACCTGTGCAGAATTTACATGATGCCAGTTTACGTGCATTGTTATATGGTGGAAGACCAGATAGAATATTTCAAATCCAACTTTGTATAACGATAAAAATGAACTCACTTCATGCATAGAAGAAATGGATGACACAGAAAGCAGCTCATATGAAACATCAGAGGTTAGTGTATTTCTAGTGTTATCTTTGACAGTAAACTTTATTTAACTAAAAAGTGTAATGTAGGAAAAAGCAACAGCAGATTGTTTTCTTGACTTGAATTGGTAGGAAAGGAGTTGTATAACCTCTATCTAGTCCTATTATCGATTAGTTGATTTATGTTATCAATAGTACCGGTAACCTATTTACCGACTTACACGTCGACCAATCAACAATAACCAAGGCGTTATTGGTCCTCAAGTCTATTCTATCCCAGTAGCCAGTCAGAAGACGAAGGTAGAAAGCGGATCAGTTTTATTTCATTAAATTCAATATGACTCAAGTCCATAGAACAATATATGAAGCAAAATCTTGAACATACATTAACATAACTAAGAAATTACAATAATCGCATAAGCATTCCATAAATGGAAGAGAACTCAATAACAGGTCCGAAATAAATTGAAAATAATGTAAGAAATGTACAACATATTATAACAATTTATGTATCACGAAAATGCTTACAAGCATGGACAATGCACGACAAAGAAGGCAAGACAGTCACTGAGATTCAAGAACAGAGGAGATGACGGGCAGAACACTGAATAATTCACAAATATACCATCTCCACTGAGCCAGCCGGACATAGAAGCAGCACATACAGATCTTTCTATTGATGCCACTCCACCAACGACCGAAGAAATCAGGATGGCCATAAGACAAATCAAGAGTGCGAAAGTAGAAGGACCTGACAATATACCAGCCGAAGTCAGACATAGAAGCAACTGCAAACATGCTTTGCGTTCTATTGAGGAAAATTAAGAAGGAGGAACAAGTGCCGATGGACTAGAAAGAATGACACCTCATCAAGATACCAAAGAAAGGAGATCAGAGCAAGTATGAGGATTACAGAGGCATCACACTAATATCAGTACAAGCGGAAGTTTCCAACAGAGTGTTGCGGGACCAAATGAAAAATTTAGTAGACGCCCAACTTCGAGATCAACAGACCTGATTCTGTAAGGATCGGTCGTGCACAAACCAAATCGCGACACTACGGATCATCGTTGGACAATCAATTGAGTGGGACTTGCCTCATCAACTTCCTTGACTTTGAGAAATCATTTGACAGTGTGGATAGGAGATCTTTGTAGAAACTCCGTTGACACTATGGAGTGCCTGAGAAAATCGTCAACGTCATCCGGAATTCATGAGACGGACTACAGTGCAAAGTTGTGCATGGAGGACAACTGACAGATGCATTCGAATTAAGAACCGGAGTCATAAAAGGCTGCTTATTCCCCCTTTCTCGTTCTTCTGGTAGTTGACTGGATTATGAAGACCTCAACACCGGAGGGGAAGCTCGAGATACAATGGACAGGTTGTATGCAACTGAACAATTTTCACTTCGTAGATGACCTGGCCCTTCTACACCATACAAACGAACAAATCCAGTTGACAACAAACAGTGTAGCAGCAGCCTCTGCATCAGTAGGCCACAACATACACAAAGGAAAAAGCAAGACCCTCAAATACACCACGGAAAACACCAATTTATTCACACCTGATGGAGAAACTCTGGAAGAGGTGTAATCGTTCACGTACGTGGTCAGCATCACCGATGAACGTGGAGGATGTGATGCAAACGTAAAGGCGAGGATTGGCAAAGCGAAGGTTGCATTGCTACAACTGAGGAACATATGGAACTCGAAACAACTGTCAACCAACATCATAGTTTTAATCTTCAATACAAACTACTATAACCATAATGAAAAATGCACAAGTTTTTATAAACATGCTATATAGCAATGTTGCAGTCTTAGAATTTGAGGCTTTATATACGATACTTGAGTTATAGCGCTAGATATCATGATTGTCTTTGATATACTGTGGTAAAATTTACAAATTTTCTCACAAACATTAAATTACAGTTGGTCTTAATTATCTAGAATTGCTAGAATTTTCTCAAACGGCTCAAAATTTAGTTGTGCACTTTTATATACCATTTCACTAGCTTTAGCTTCAGTGATCAGTAGCATATTAAGCATTTTATGCTAATCGAATCCAGCAAAAGGGAGAGATAATATAGCTTACAGACTACATGTTATGCTTATTTAGTTGAGACCCTATTTGTCGGGATTGTAGTAGAAGTAGGAAACATAATGGGCTGCGTGCAAGTGAAAAAGTTTTGGAATGAGCTAAAAGCCACAGTTGTACGATAAACATAAGTCTTTCACTTCAAGCAAGTACAAGGACTCTCGAACCTCTTATGAATGGGCAACAGAAGACCATCTCAATCACTCATATACATGAGATAAGTGATTAGTTCATACAAACTGGGTGAAGCGGTACTTAAACGGATATTATTTTCGTCATCGTCACATTATGTGCAGTACATCCATAATCTATACGCGAAATCTATCGAACTACACAGATAAAACGATGGACGTATATAGAGGTGATACATATGGTTTGACCAACATGGTACAGGAAATAAACCTGATTAACCTACGATTCACTTTTATGGCTACTACAGAGAGCCATAACCTCATTACAGGTAATAGCGTCCCACTTTGTTCTTATTGTATAGCATCTGATTAAGTTAGACTATTCAAATTTTAAAACATACCAAAATTGCACTCATCGATTTATTGTGACGTACTTTTCCTCGTCCTTTATTGAATATAATAGTCAGAATTATTGGTAAAATAGCTGAAGGGTTATATTATTAAAGAATACGTAGATATCATATTATTTTGCATGGACATGCTAAACCTGAAACTTTGATACTCAATATTAGGCATTTTTTAGAATTACTGCCAGTTGTTTGTAAGAGGAATACAAGCAGCTGGACGGATGTCAACGGTATTGTAATTCTGAATTTACTGTGTAAACCACTATCATCTGTGTGACAGTGCTCATGTATACAGCCTAATATATTGAAGAAATCCAAAAATCCGTTTTAAAAAGTGTTCGTAGTCATTCGAGATATTTTTGTTACTCAATCACATTTTGTTTGTGAATCAGTCCTACTCTGTCATTCAGTCATTTGAATTAAAGATTGAGCTAACCTAAGTGTGTGCGTATATATGTGCTATGCTGATAAATGTTTTCAGTAAATGATTTCATGTCAATTCCATTACATGGTGCAAATTTTTAATTTTTATTCTAAAGTGGTAAATATTTTATTGAATCCAATTTACAATAAAAATAAAATATTAATTTTATAAAGACCGAACAGTTCTCACTTTATATAACTTTATAAAACTTATGTATAACTTGATCTCTTATTACTTTTAAACATGAGTATTCTAACTTGTCATATTTTAAACTACAAATTATTGCATGAATCGAATGACAACTAACGTCTAAACAAATAAAATGTATTGAAAAATTAGTTTATCTTTTTCCCTTACTATTTTATGTTCCTTTATTAATGTAAATCATGTTTAATTTAACTGGTGAACGAATTCTGTTGACTTCTATCATGTCTGAAATTTTTGATTGTGCTTTCAACTCTGTATGTATTCTACATTTTCACACGATAATAAATGAACAAAACTGAACCACAGATCAAATGCTTATGTTTTCTAGCATATTACTGTATGTTAAATTAAGGCTAACACTACTTTTTTTCAGATGGAATCTCATTCCTAAATATTGTTTGAAGGTTTTTTATTATATTACTTTATGATTTATAATATTACAAAAAAAAACTATTTTACTATCTACAATTTTTTTATTAACTGTACTCAAGTTTCTATATACTGAAGCTGAACGCTCTGTGGTACATGCTGTACGTCGATACCTCTGTCCCGCTTTACGTGATCTTATCGAACATGGTCTTATAAAGAAAGCTTTACAGAAAATTGATGAAAATTCACCTTTGGGCTTAGCAAATAAACGAAGCATTTTACTGCTTCGTCCTATCCTAAACTGTTTAGACTCAAGATCAAGAAATCACTCAGAAGATAAATTTGAATGTTTAGATTTGAACGATCCATCAGGTGATTACATTGATACAAACTCTTTTTCGGGGTCCCGTTCTAATTATATAGGAATCCATGCGTGGGATGTATTAATGCGTTTTTATCAAATTAAGGTGAGTGAAATCAAAATAAAGTCCAATATTTTTACATTTCAATTCCATTTTTAAGATAGACTATGTCTAAATATTCACATAGAATTTAAGTTTAATCTAATAAAATACTGAATATTTGTGTCTCATTAACACGTTTGTATCTTTACTCACTTGATCTCTATTTTGTTTCATTTTACTGACAGGTTCATGGTTCGATTAAATTTTAGTCAGTTAACTATTAGGTTTTCATTGCAAACATGCCTATAGAATGCAGGAGTAGTCAATGAGACATAATTAAATGCCGTTCGGTCAATCATATTATCAAAGTATAGTTGTAGACTACTTTTTTACTATTTAAGTAGCTTCGTCAGTTTGAGTTATTTTGCGACGTGAATTGATAACATTCAAAATCCTGTTGAAATTTCTTTCAGCCTAATTCTGTCTTATGAGAATATTTGTCAATACTAGAACGAACAGTTTGACAAAAATTGAGTGACGAGTATAGAAAAGACATTATATGTGAAAAATTATATTTGAAATAATCCCAGCAATTGAAAGTTAAATAATCCCAATGTTTCGTCCATAAAACTTGCCTGGACTTCTTCAGAGTAAGAAGTCTAGACAGGTTTTCTGGACGAAACGTTGGGATTATTTAAAATATAACTTTCATACATTAATTCGGTTATTTTACTACAAATTATACTTTTAATGACTTGTAAATAAAAATAATATATTTGTAATATCCCAATGAGTAGAAAATTGGATTTTTCTGACGTTTCGTGGCTTAGTGTAAGTCACTTCTTCAGAGAATAAATAACCAAATTAAATTAATCCAAGTTTAAATAGTACAATGGAACAATGCAAGAATAATATTTGATCAATCAAAAACAGGTCTGGACAAGTTGATGTATGTCATTTCTGTCACGGTGATTCATAAGTGATAAGTATGTAAATTTGTGTATGTATGTGTGTGTGCATTGTTAAAGAATGAAAACTGTGTGACCTATATGGTAAGAAAGGATAGAGTTTAAATTTGTAATATGATAGTGTGAAATTGTAAATACGATCAGACTGAATGGTTAGGATAGATGGTCCAAGTAGGATGTATGGTAAGGCCTTCTTTTCTATTGAGAGAAGTGGGATTAAGCATTATATGGAATGCCTCAGCTACCCTCCTTTCTTTGTAGTTGGAAAAGCCTTTTTGCAATATTTTGATATTTTTAAAATCGATTTGGTGGTTGTTGAAAATGGCATGAACTGCTATTGCCGATTTAATTTGAAGTTGGTTCAGTTCTACAGGATTGTTAGGAGGTTTCTTTGTGTACCTAATATGTTCTTTGGCTCTAGTCAAGATTTCGCGGGATGACTCTCCAATATAATAGGCATCACAATCGATACAACCTAATTTGTAGACGCAGTTCTGTGTGGACATGAACGGGATTTTTTCTTTCAAGCGAACTAAAGTATTACGTAGTGTGTTCGTTGTTTTGTAATACACTTTAATTCTGTGATGTTTTAAGATTCTTTGAATTTCTTCTGTTGTGCCATGACGGTATGGTAGGACTACAGTGCCAATCCAAGGCATTTCATTCGAATCATTATTATAATGTAATAAACTGTGTTGTTTTAATATGCTTCTAATAATCTTCATAGGAAAATTATTAAATTGTAGGATGCTAATTATATTCATTTGTTCTTTTTGTTTGTCTTCCTCTGATGTGATGATCTTGTTAGCTCTTCTAAAAAGATTTAAGGCTAGCGAGATCTTAGCACTGAAAGGATGTGCTGAATGGAAGTCAATATAACGATTTGAATGCGTCGGCTTTCGGTAGATGGATAGGTTTAGACTTCCATTTGGATTTCTTTTTACCAAGCAATCCAAGAATGGTAGTTCACCATGTACATTTTCATTTTCATTCGTGAATTTGATGTGCGATGAAAGTGTATTAATTCGTTTTGAAAAAGATCTTAGATGAGTCTTTTTTATAACAACAAATGTATCGTCTACATATCTAAGCCAAATTCGTGGTATAATGTTGTGGGCGAAGATATTTGATTCTATGTATGCCATAAAAAGGTTGGCTACAATCGGGGACACGGGGGATCCCATCGCTACACCGTTAGTTTGTTTGAACAACATACCGTTAAAAGTAAATAGCGTTGAATTTAAGCAAAGTTTTAAGGATTTCATGATTAGACTGATGCTCAACGGACATCTGTCAGGAAGAGTATTGTCGTTCTCAAGTAAACCACTAATGAATTCTAAGCATTTATCAATGGGAACACTTGTGTATAAAGAAACGACATCAAAGCTTACCATGATTTCATTCTTCTCGATGATTAATCCGGATAATTTTGATTTAAAGTCATATGTGTCTTTAATTATATTATGTAAGTTGAGTTGTAATGGTTTTAATATATTGCTTAAATGACTTGGTTGTTAAGAAATGACTGTATTTTATATTTGTTTGAAATTATTGACAGTTATGTTTTCTGACTAATAGAATAATTCGACCGCAGACGTAATTATTAGCTAGAAATTTATTCATGGCTGTTTTTTCTCGACTCACTCAATATCTCTGCTGTTACTAATTTCATAAATTAATTTGTATGATACGCGAAGTTACGGAAACTATACTCACCTTATTCGACTATTCCATACATTAATAAGATTATCTACCTCATGGTTCTATGGAGTTTCTTAAAGAGCACGATAGCCTTTCAAAGGCTTTTTCTTCAGTATTGTAGAACTGTTTCTAAAAACAATATACTCACAATTATCAAGTGGATATTTGTCAGATTACTATAATCCACTTGGAATTATAGAAGTGATAATGAAAATTTTTGGATTAAATTATAATGAATTCCTTACGGTTTCGATCTATTTACTAGGCACGTTTAGAGAAATTATCACATCAGAAAAATATTTCTTCACTAGAAAAAGCTATAATTATATGAAATTTTTTATTTAGTCAAATTACTATCTTAGCTATAGGTCAACGTAACAACTAACTAACACAATGAATAATCTAAAACCGGAAAAGAATAACAAATTTCTGAAAAAAAGAAAAATGGTTATCTAATTAAGAATCCGTTTAAAAGGTAAGAAATGTCAAAATAGTTCTTGATAACTGTCCACTTTGTTTAAACACATAACATACAGTTAAGATTTATTAAATTATAGAGTTTGTCACTATAGAATAATGTCTCTGCCTACACTTGTAACATTTTCAGTCCAATTCAATCGGATACAAATACCTGAATGTCTTAATTATAATCTATTATGTATTGATTTATATTGAATTAAATCTGTTCTGTTTTAGAATGGTCCACGGTATAATGAATCTCCGGCGAGAAAACTTTGTGAAAGTTTTGATTTAGATACAGTTGATGGTAAAACAATCACAAATCGTCAGGTAACTAGCCAATACAAATGTTTAATCTTTTCGAATCATAAGCTAAATTAAGGAGTCTTAGGAAGAAAGAAGTGATTTTTTGCTGAAAAAATCAGACTTGTAAGGAGTATTTTAAAATAAGCTTTGATTAATATCTTTCATTTGTTTTAAAACAACATTTTACAGCATACATATCGTGACCAATTGTTAAAATAAATGTCTAATGTATTATATACTTGCCTACCATTGGAAATACTAATTTACTACACATAGTAAATTGTGCACTAAAAATGCCAATAATAATGTGGTGATAGGTTTCTAGAGATTCAGATACTTTTTCTGATTGAAAATCTGCTAACAATAAACCTTGAATAAGATTCTTTGACTATCTGTCAACAAAATAACTAACGCTGTTAGCATTATTATTCATTGTTATGTGTCCTATCTAAATGTCTTTCCGCATTCTTTGTTCTCTTCAACTCTATCAGCACAGCAAACGAAAGTATCAGTTTGACTTTCGTAAATCAGTTGAATAATCTTTGATTCTGATGAATTAGTCTTGCATATTCTAAATTTGTTTGACACTTTTTTCCATGAAAGTGATCAAATCATTTATAAGTAATAAATAGTTTAGTGGAAAATCTCGATCAACAACGCAAACGTTTACGAGTAGAGTGTTTTGAATGTGTAAAAATACTTAAAATTATTGTAGTGTTTTTCCTCTACTGACAGTCGAGGTTAGTATGTACAGGGATTACATTATTTGTCCATTCAACCATTTAAACAAAAACTAATAAATTATAAATTGACTTTATTTTGGTTTTTTAAAGTCTTCAAGATGGGCAATACGATCTACTTGTATGGTTACTTGTATCTAATTTTACTTGAATATATATATATATATATAACCTATATGATACATTATTTAACAGCAAATACGGTCTACTTTATCTGGCTTCTATATATATAAACATCGAGTCATTCATAAACAGGTTTTTATCTTACATTTTAACATTTTTCACTCTCTTAAACTGTATCGCTACACTCCATATTAAATTTATGTAATTTACTGATAGGAAACCAAATATACACAAATAACTGATTCACTAATCATTGTATTGGTGATTTGTTCATCCAACCAGATTAATTATTGTAATTTAGTAGTTTAGTCTATCATGTATGCAAAAAATGCATGACTATATGAATAAATGAAGTATGTTTTGTGAAAAAAGACGGTTGTCTAATTGGCTTATCTTTAGAGGAATTGAATAAAATTAAATTAGATACAATCAGCATAGAATATATCAAGTAGATATTCAGCTACACTTTATAAGTAATACTATTAAACAAGTATTTTAAATTAATATTATAAAATAACTATTCTCAAGCAACAAAATAAGAAACCAATCTTATAAAGTAAAAAACTACAATTAGTACAATGTTTTTCACAAATTCAGTGATATTCGAAGGCCATAAGTCGATTTATGTAGAGTGGATGACAAGTTAGATGACATGATAGGATGTTAGCAGACATTGTACACAAAAATAACGCTTATTTAATAGCTTCTTAAAAAGTGTATTGATGTTAAATTCTCACTGTACTAGTTGGAATCTCATTGGAATTATGTATGTCGTTGAAGTTGCAACTAATAATTAATCAATAAGTATTATCAAGGATGAAATCGTGGTGAATAACTTTCTATAGAGCACCTTCAACAACGATTGTCAAATGTAAGAACTTCAAGTAAGTCAATAAAACAATATTCGCACATAGTCATTCTGACAGTTAAATTTTGAACAGAGAATTTCTCATCAAAATTGTTCATATCAAGCTAATCTATTGTTCAGTTAGATTTCCAACATTCAACAGACATTTATGGATTGAAATTATTTACTTGGCAACGTGTAGAGTCGTATGTACATTTGTTTGTATCATTAAACCTTATAATTGATCAGTTGGATTAGTGTATGTACTTTAATATTTGGAGAGTTCTACTAAAAACGTTTACTTTATATCTACTAAGCTAGATGAAACAACATTGTGGTAGGGTCTATTCAATGAGATGTGGTAATTAGAAGAAGCTGATAGTTCAAAATTCAATGACTATTGACTTCAGTTGATCAATCGACAATTTTTTGCAATATAATTATTCATTGAATACGTTTACTGATTGTTCCATTTCTTAACCATACGGCTAAATAATATTTAATAAAAATTACTAAAGAATAAATATGTATATTTTTTGAATTATTAATTGTTCTTTAAACATTTAATTTCAACTAGTCAAAATTTAGCAGATCATGTTTGATTATTGTGGTTTACCTTAGAAATTTTTCAGTGCAATGGGTAACGTTCTTCAGGGTCACGTGGCATACAAACGCAGTAAGGATGCCAAGTTCAAAGCATTCATTAGTATTGCACTTAAGTAAGTATATTTACTTAGAAGTCTTTTTAAATAGTTTTAATAATACGTGTCAGAACGTTTTCCATAACCGTTTTTGATTGATGTATATTTGTAACAAGCCTTTTGTTATTTATGACCGACTCATACTATTATATGCATAATCTATTTGGAAAACTTTATCTTCCATTATTTCTATTTTTAAGACATGAATATTATTTTTCATTTGGTTGTAAATTCTCACAAACTTTTAAAATACTGATCGACAATAGTTATTAGTATTTTCTGTTCTAAGATGATCTTGATTTCAACTGAATATTTTTGGAAAAAATTAATTTATTCATTATCAACAATTTTGATTATACAAAGTCTTGTTATTCAGTCCGTTATCAAAGAGATTGTTTTTTCACTGTTTGACAAAAGACTGTCTACATAAACTATTTCCAACCAACCAACAATCAAACTCTGCAAGTCATTTTGCATTTAAACTCAATTATAAAGTCAAAAATATTGAAAAAATTTAATACTGATTAGATCTTGGTAATGCAAATGGATTTTACATTAACCGATGATATGGAGTAGAATCAAATAGGTCATGTGACGAAAGTGGATACGCGAAAATGTCTTACCTTGATCTATTGTTCGTGGCTTTTCTGTACAGAAATCTAAAATTTATTTCATTACAATTACTAATCAGCGACAGTGAATAAAGTCCCAAATAACTATAATTTATGGAATACAACTATTTCTATTGACTAGGCGTTGTAACTTTTCAGACAGTGTGATGTAATGATTATGACAATAGTTTAGCTTTCCGTTTAAGAACTAAACTACCTTAATGGTGATTAAAGCATCTAAGAAGGATTATGTTAAAGTATTTGATGTGCTTGAATATCTGGAGTACCTATTTCTACCATCTAGATATTTCAAAAGTTATCTTTTCTGTTATTTTTAACACACCCCATACGTCTTTTAACCACACAGCCCATCAAGGCTCGTATATAAAACGTTTACGACCAATCGTCTTACATACCACCCAAAACACTGGAACAAATACAAATAAGTTTATGTTACCAACATTTACGTGACTCCTTACTTCAGATCGACTACACTATCTGTTTTTTATTGATGTATTCACCAAATTTGTCGTAACTGCCTTCAGTGGTCCACTTTCAACTACATAGGGCGGTTGTAATTCATTCGGTTGTAGCTTTCTTTCATCGCTAGATAACCAAAATGTAGTAGATTTTCTTACTCGTTCGGTTGTTCATTATAGATGATGATGTAGAAATATATATATGACTCGTAACATGTCCTGTTGTTTAGCTCTGATCATTGTATTATTCGTGTTCCACCTAAATTATATGACAAGCTTGGAAAAAGCACACTCTTATATCTGATAAAGAAAGTTAAATACAGGAATTACTCAAAAGATAATATTCAAGATCTGAAAAACATGTTTCGTACGACAAACTTTAATTATTAACAAATGACTAATCGGAAAACACCGTATTTCAATTTTCACTGAAACTTATGTTCGAAAATGTCCCTAATTACTTTACTCGTCTCGATGTTTAGGACCTGACGAAATCTCAAACCTTCTTTTTAAGAGATGTGTTGACCTTCTGTGCCATCCATTCACAAGCATGTTTAACGAATCTGTCCTAACTAATTTTCTACCGAAAATACAGAGAAAGTTAAAAATAATCCCAACACCAAGTAAAATATCTAGCGAAAAGAATTTAAAATTTAGGCCCGTAGCATTAGCTTCACCTCTTCTCAAAACTGTGAAAAAACTATTGCTACTCTAATCTCAACCTGCATTCAAAGAGTATATTGATCCATGTCAGTTTCCTTGCGTGTGCAAAATAAGTACCTTAAATTCTGTTGTTCTGCATCATAATGTAGTGTTCAGCTAGGGAAAGGTTAAGAAGTATATTCGTTGGGTCTTTCTAGATTGTACTTCTGCCTCTGGTTCTATTCCAAGACTGCTACTACTTAACAAGTTTATCATCCTCAACACCGACAGCTGAATAAAAAACTGAATGAGTTCTTTCCTCTCTGTAGGAAAACAGTATACATCTTTTGGAGGGAAGTGTTCAAAGTCTTTATTAAGTCCAGAAGGTGTACCACAACGAGCTGTTCTTTCCCCTTTTCGTCCTTCTTTTTTTGCTGCATGATGTGCCAACTTCCACAGAAAACACTTTTGTCAAGTATGCGGATGGTTTTATTGGATGTATACCGATTTCTACCTCTTCACATCCCCTTAAAATGGATGAGTTCATGTCCCGTATTGAATGGTGTTCTATTGTTAATAGTCTCACATTCAGCCCCACTAAATGTCAAAACGTTAACTTTAGCCTGAGACATGAAATGCATCGAAACACCCTGTTGGGATCCAATAAGGCTTTTGTCATTAGAGATTCCTTGATAAACACAGTGTCAACAGTCATTTACCTTAGTGTAATTATTTCTTCTGATCTCTCTTTGTCTTCTCATGTTTTCTGATTTCGAAGAACGTTTTCCATCCGACCTACTAAACAAAGAGGCTGCATGCTTTTGGGATTACCTGGCATTTCCTGGGCTTTTGAGAGAAAACTTTGCTGCATTGCGGAGAGTGCTGAAGGCGGTTAGCAGGGTGTTTAGTGAATCTTTTGAGGTCACTATGAATAAGCTTCTGGATAGACATTTAAAATTTTCCAAATTCCCGAGAAGTGTAATCTTATCAAATACTAACCATCCACTTCATTCACATGTTTTTTAGTCGTTTGACAACTGGGTAGCGTCTCTTCATTGGCTGTTAAGTTCCATCAAGGTCGTTAATATTAGTATGCTGTCATAATATTTCGTTCTGATAATTAAATGTATTTGTCAATGATAAAGTCGGAAAAACTCATTTCTAATAATTTCATTTTCAATTAGTTTATAATATGAAGAGAAATACTTTGCATTTGCAGTAAGTACTGTACATACTTCATTAATTATTTCTTTAGAAAAGTTTAACAGTATAGTTTATCTTCCCTGTGACCAAGTATCAGTGATATATATAGTAGTGAATACTAACTAAACTTAGTAAGATTAGTCAAAATGATTTGCTCTCTTAGTCGTTTTTATTATTTGTGTATAGTACTGTCCAGTTAGAACCCTTTATCATTGAGTCTTCATAAAGAAAAGTATCAAGTTCATTTCCTATTGCTTAGTTGTAAATAATCAACTGGAATAAGTGTAAAATCACCACACAATATCGTTGAATCGATTGACAACACAAATTGTTATGGATATTTGCTATCTCTCAAACAGAATGGCTAAAAGTGCCCGAACAAAATATAATGCGATTAATTTGCGCAAACTATGAGCAGACAAATAAGGTGTAAAATCGGTAATTCATATCAAGTTGTGGGCTAATATTAGTTATATTTAGATACATTTTTGGGTACGCAAGCAAGTCGAAATGATTGCCCACATATATTGGCATTATCTTGTTGAAACATTCAAGCTACAGATCTTCACAGACAAATAAACTTACAACATTAATAGTAGGTCAGTTAGTTTGCATAAATAATTCCTTTCATTTCGAATAGACAAAAATATCGCCCAGTCACAGTTAAAACACCGATGTCCTTAACTAGAAAAACCATTCAATCGTGATCAATACTTAATTAACCACGCCAGCATTATTTATACACTCTTCAAGAAGACCCAATATTTTTTTCAACTTTGTATTAGATTACAGACAAACGAACAAACGAGAACTATATAAGGCCTATCATAAGTGTTAATCGGTCGAAACGTTATATTACTAGTACAATACCCAAGGTCATGGAAGTATTTGACATGGAAAGTGTACACGTAGTTCCCTCTGTTACACTGAAAAGAGCGAACATAAATTAAGCTGAATAAAATTGATTCATTTTAAGTTATTAGGTTCTCATTCACTACAAATGACCTATAATATTTCCCTACCAAAACTATAAGGTGAGTTAAAAACTTGTTAGGTAGTTCATGTAAACATAAATCCAACCAAATTTCTTTCTGTAAATATTTTTAACTTGCTCTGTAACTTAGTTTTTAAATGTTACAAATTGCAAGTAGTTGATAAGAGCCCGATACAAAAGTTCCATGTTTTTGTATACTAGAAAACTCTCACTTTGCTATATACATTTAAACAGTTCAACCAGTTTTTTGACATCAAGGATCGTTTTCAGTTGCGAGGCCACCACAAATTGAGCACATGTATATGACAACACGATCTATTCATGGAATATGAAACGCTTATAATGAAATATTGATATACTGTACTATCCATCCTCTTGATGTCCACCAAAATTACAATATATCAGGAGACTCCTAAAGCCTAGATAAACGATCATTAAGGACCAGCATCTACGCTATTAGTAGTTAGTCATACATTTAGCTGATATGTAGAAGCGAATGCAGATTTATCTTTAGTTGGTTTTCACTAATTATCTTCCTTACCTTTTTCCTAATGATCAGCAACTTATGGTAGTAATATTCACTGAATCTCATTATGATACCATCATTAATTCTAGCAGTCAAATCACTTTCAAATTAGTTAATCCACCAATCACTACTCACCTAAGTCTGCTATGGTATAGAGAAGCCAATGTCAAATTCTGAATGTCCCATATATTTGTTTGAACATCATTGTAAAATATTTGTTCTTATGTTATATAGAACCTGTTTTATTTACCTTAAGTGAAGGAAAATTGGTCCCTTGGCTAAGAATGATCTTTCGGAATCATGTTTTTGTTCAATCTATATATGAACCATGGAGTTATACTTTGAGTACAGGTAACCGAGTTTTTTAATTGTTGTTTTATTTTTATAATCGTTGTAATTATTAGTTCCCTTTTTATGAAATACTTTCGATCAAAATTTAAGGATTTCATCACTAAAATTTTACTTCATGATTTCAAATTGATTAATAGAAATGGTGTATCTATAGTATTTTAACAAGTAGAAAAATGGATTTCTAAAGAGTGGCAACAACGCCTAGATTTCATGAAGTTTAAACATACTGAGAATGATAATCTTTGCAGTACAATGAATTGGCTTGAACTGCATTCACAGCTCTAGAATATTTGGGATAGTTTTACCATTCAGTACCACAAAAATCCAGGAGGTTTAAAAAGAGAAAGACATTTAGTTAATCTTACTGGGTTGTGGCTATAATTAAATGAAGAATTAAAAATGAGAAAGATTAAAAAGTTCGTTTACTACATTGCTCGCTTCTGTTATCAATGGATTTAGACGTTAGTTAATAATATTTCTAAATACGAAGATCAAATCTCGTCACAGTGGATTTTGAGAATTTTTTATTAAAATCCAGAAGTATAGTGTTTGTTGATCTCTGTGAATGGATTCGTTCCATATACTTTGAACTTCGTACCAAGCAGGTTACTGAACTAGGACGACTGTCTTTTTTTTACTGAATTAGGTTTCTTGACTAGTCTTGTGATACAGAGACCAGCTTTTCTTTTATTCAAAACTTTTCCTGTTGTTCAATTCCCCATTTTATCCAAACTATGAATCAAAACTATTAGATATTTTTGTCTTTAAGTAAACAGATAACATGGAAACATTTCTTTAAGAGTTGAGAAATGGTACTTTTTTAGGGGAACTGTCGTGGTAACCACTGAACCATTACCACTATTTCAGTGATTGGTTTGATCAGAACCAATTATTGTGAATAAGAAGTTTACTAAATTGAACAACGTATCCTTACAAATATATTGAGTTATTTTCTCGGAGGTCTTTGACGAAAGACATCATTTCCTACTTTTATTTTCTTATTTATTTGTAAAATTTTCTTTGACCAGTTACACAGTATGTGAAAGATCGGCAAAACTGTTGTACTAAACTTTATCACGGTAACTTTACGTTTTCCGTCATTATTCTACTCATAAGCCGGAATATATTAAAAATCCGTGAATGACTATTCTCTTTTCACACCATCCAATATATAGTCACCCTCATTTTATCCATAAACAGGTGATTATATTTCAGTATGCATTTTTGAATTCCTTTCAGGTCATTTTAAATTGTATCTAAACTAACAACACCATACATAGTCAAAAAGACTATAAATGGTAAACCAAATAACATAAAAACTGACAAATCATATACATATGAACTTTTTAAAACATTCACTAAAAGTTTTCTGTTGAGTCAACAGAAATGCTGGTAATACGTTTATATACTAATCAATTATTTCAGTGAATACTAAAATTAAGATGTAGATGTTACAAGTCTCAGTGATGTCCACGTGGGTATATTAATGTCCTGTGATATTCCAAATTAATATTTTCAAGTACGACGAGAAATTAAGTTAGTTGATAATACATAGACAGAGTATGTGTCCATAATCAGTGACAACTTGATTATTAAAATAATAGAATGTCCTTTGCTAAGGACTAGTAAAAAACCACTGTCACAGGTTTAATACATCATGTATCTGAAGGAAAAAATAATTCTATTGATATCATAAAAATCTTTAAGACTAGAGTCTATTATAACATAAATACAAATAAAATGCAGCATCTCAGGCTACACCATTAGATGACATAGGCCCATATTGAAGTGGGAGGAACCCCGTTCTCTTAGTGGTTGAAGCAATAGTATTTATTGTCCTTCTTCTAATAGTCCCAAGATATCTAGACATGAGAATATAGTCTTGTATCACAACTTTTCTCCTTTGTATAAGTTTCATAAAATCAAGTGCTCTGTTAATGAAATGTATGTTGTCTGTGGAAGCAAACAAGATTATGTTTTCATAAATATATGAGATAGTTTCTATTAAAAGGCATTTTGAAATTATTCATACTGGGTCAAAGTGGGGGAGTATTTATTTAACAACTTCATAAGTAGTTGAACAAGTAATGAAAAAAAATATGTATCAGAAGGGGTTTTGTGGAGATTGTAGTAATTTCAACAGTTGAGATCATGAGTCATTTGTGTTCGTTATAATAAGCAGAAATGGCTTTTACTTGGAAGTTTACTTACATTTATGTAAACCAGGATAACTGATTAATTACCGTGGTTTCATTTATGTTTTACGCAAGTGAAAGGATTAAATTACTGCTACTGTACCACTTAACAATAGGTTTTGATTGGGAATCTATGATAATCACTAATCCTCTTAATTAGATCTTGTGTTAAGTTGATTGATAACCGTATATGAATCAGGAGAGGTGTGTATGTTTTTTCTGTAAAATTTTAATGTATTGATCTGTAATTGCTGGATAATATTCGTCACTTTGTTGTTGAGTGATGTCAGCTCTCTCTTTTCTCTTATTTTAAGATCAAACCAAAATCAAGGGTTCTTAGTATAACATTTAATCCGTTCAAGGTTCTCCATCTAAAATCTAATTTTTTACGATTGTTAGACTTTAGATACAAAAGTCAAAAAATATTTATGTGGTTATTACATAAATTCACTCGTAAAGGTTTGTTTATACAGTTATATGCATTATCTACTGGTGAAATGCTGGATTCGGTGCAAGGAAGAACTTGTTATCGTCTGTAAAATATTATGTATTATAGAATAAATACATCAATGTTTTGTAAATACACCTTAGCTATGAGAATACAATTATGTGTCAGGCAATCTCTCCTTTTTAGATTTATGTGTGACAACACCACTTGACCACAAAACACTGGAAATAAATATCTAAAGTGGACTTAGCATCTATTTTATTGCGATTTTAAGTTGGTCAATTACAATATCACATCAATAGATGACTTGATAAAACTAAATTAGTTTAAATCCTATAATTAGCAAAATATGAAAATCAAAATGTAAATTTTCTTGGTCACATATTTTTCATTTTATCTCTTTGTTTTTAATTACTTCGTTGTGTAAGTAAATGATTTCGTCGAAACGAAAATCTTCTTCGCTGAATTCTCTTTTTCCGTTGTGTTCATTTCATTATTTTCAAATGAAAAGTTTTCCAATATAATTTCTTTATCATCAAATGGCTAAATATACAAATCGAAATGACAAGATGAAGAAAGTGACGAAATTTTAGGTTAATATTTTTTGTATCAATTCCGTATGAACTTCATTCATGAATTTTCATTCAATATGACATTTATATTACCTGTATCATTTCAGATGAACTAAATTCAGTATATGTTTTAAAATAACTATATATTTTTTCTAATGTTTGATGTTATTGTATGCTTAAAAATCGGCATATAAATGAGTGTATTTCGGTCTAATGACAATGTTTTTAGACGACTTGTTTTGACTAATCTTTTGGCTAGTCAATAAACCTTCATTTGGATTAGTCTTTTGCTCTGACTTCTCATCGTAGTAATTACAGTGGTTCCCATTTTTTAAAGGATAGTCAGTAAGACACGGGACATGACAAGGACGAGCGAGTTATAACAAAAATATTTACGGTATTGAGCAAGTCAGTAAATTGTTTATGACAGTCTTTACTTAAAAATGTACTGATTCAAGGATAATGTTAACTGTTCTGTCATGGATTGAATTCAACGTAAATATTAGCAACCTCCAAGTAGCTGACTCAGTTTCAATAACATTTTTAAAATCAGAAAATTTTAAATTACTTTTCGAAACAAAATTCAGTTGTTCGGGAACCATATGGAACTAGATGGTGTTTGGCCAAACAGTTTAGATTTAACTAACATTGTAAACCAACATTATTCAGTGAAATCAGCTGTCCCGAACTGAATAATTATTGGTGTAAATAAACCAGAATAAAAAAGAATTCAATAAAAAAATTTCCTTTATTGCCCTTTATCTAATATCCTTTTTTTATTTCTCATGTAAATAGGATTCAACGATACTCTACAGTCATTAATTAAACTAAAGGATCTTGAATTCGCTCTGCCTTATGATTACAGTATTCGTCATTTAAAAGAAATGCATGATGCCTTCTAAACTGCGAGATGCATTTTTAATATCCAATGCTAGTGATATTCCTTTTTTTCATTTCGTCTTTTTTTTTCTTCATGTCCAGTGATCATTATATAAACTAACAAAAATCAACATTTTGTTGTTTATCATTTGTCTGAAAGTGTAAGTATTTCTTATATCTATCTACCTATATTATATATATATATATATATATATATATATATATATATATATATATATATATATATATATATATCGTATTTGTAATATTTTTGTTTATTTCTTTTGTTGATACATTATCTCACCTTAAGCATAACAAAACATTTAACTTGTGTATTAGCATTTGTTTATATGTGTGATTGGAGCTTGTACTTTGATTTAATCAACCATATTACTGTCTACATTTGGTCGAAAATTGATGATTGTTGTATGATAAACAGATCTACTGCAGATATATTTAGTATTCTTTATATTATGTTTACAAAAAGATTAAATGTTTATTTATTTCCATATTTTTGAGATTTAATCCGTATGTCGTTTTGTAATTATGAAAACTATTTCGTTTATTCTCTTCACTCTACTTTCGGGCTTCAACAAGGCATAAATAAACTCTAAACGTTAGGCTTTGTCTGTTAATTTAAGTAATCATTTATTATTTCTCAAAGATTACGATGAAAATGATGAAGTATTTCCCACGCAGATTCCACTGATTAGGATTCTTTAGTTTGATTTCTAAACTATTTTCCAACTCTAAACTTTTAGTTAGGTAATGGGATGAAATAAAATTGTAGTTAATTTATTGGGAATTTCATACACAGCTGTAATAAAACTACATATTTTTCAACCGAATGTCGAATTATTGAAAAAATTCATGCTTCGCTAAAGTCAGTAGGTGAACTTTTGTATCTCATAGTCAGAAAGTAAGCTTTAAGGTTCTAAATTGGTGAAAATGGGGAGAAACAACCAGTGTATGATAAATAGTGTTTGGTTGTTTGTGCCGAAAGCTTTTGTTTATGCGAAATCTCACCTGTCATAAGTAGTATCGGTCAAAATTGATCTCATTTAATGAACCATTAAGAACCAGACAGCACTGAATAGTTGTCTTAACATAGTAGGAGACTCATCAAAACGCACCCACGACCTTAGCAGAAGTCCAACCCAAGATCTTCAGGTCTGATGACGAAAGCTTAACCGCTAGAGTCACTATGACAGTATTTAATTCCTTAGCGTTGTACCTCAACAGTACAAAAGAAACCTGATCAAAACTCTTAGTTACCGAATACGCACTATATGTCCTACAGATATAGTTAAAGAAGAGCTGAACATCTTACGTAATACTCTTAGGGAGAACGGATACCCTAGAAAGCTTATAATTAAATATATGATCCCGAAGGTGAAAATAGGCGAAATACAAACGGTGAATAAGAAATCCCTGTTCATGCGCCTATAATTTAGACGGGATGCGGCTAACGAAATATTAACTCAGAGATTACACAGAACAATCCAAAAATCTTTAAACGCTGGAGAACTATGATTAGTATTTTATACGCGCCCAATAGTGGGACCGAGGCTACCTAGAATGACCACCCGATTTTGGATTTATCAGTTCGACTGCTTCTGTGGAGCAAGTTATATTGGTCGAAGTTCTAGAAATTTACATCTCATGCTCGCGAACACCTTCAAGCGTGGCTAAGCAAAGGTCTGGTGAAGAAAGTGAACAGCTCACTATTGGCCGATTTAGTGCAAATTGGTCATAGTGTCAGTATAAACCAATCCATTTTCTATTATTTATCGGGTCAGTAATTTTTTGCCAAACCTTGTCAGACTTAAAGTCCTTCAAACGGCTGAAACAGTAGTCATCCGGACTAAGAAAGTGGAGCTATGCGTACAAAAGAAATATCTTCAACCGCTTCTCTTCCCCTGACCAACCTCAAGGCCCATTAGTCAATAATAATCTTAGATATTGAATGACCTAATTTGACTACTGTACATAGGACCTTTCATAGTCAAATGTAATTGTCTTTGTTATCTATATTCACAAATCTTCGTATTATTATTACTCTTGTCATTATTGTTATTACTATTTGTCAAAAATCATTATTAATCTTCTCAATACGTGATTCATTTACTTTGCATTCATCCCAACTTATTATGTTTTAGTGGCCCTGTATCTAACTCCGGGTCGATCGTGTGAACGATCGTTATTGAGTGATTGCTGTCGAAGTATACATATCCTTTCATATAATTATCGACTTGTGTTAGTGAATAACGGAATAAAATAAGTCAAATACGAGAATGAATGCTTAAATACGCATATTTTGTACACACATTGACGCGGACAGACAGTCAGGGACGATGTGCATTGAAGGCGTATGAGCCAACTCGATTTAACCAAGCATTAATCGATATTTATAGCCGAACAAAAATAAGTTATCGGCGTGTGATGAGTAAGATAAGAAATGCACACACATATGCTTACATAAAAACAGTCAAAGTTGATAAGCGAATAAATAACAAGGTCAAAACGTAAGATGAGAACAATGGATACATTGGTTTGTTCAGATGCTAGAATAAGTTATGTGGGCTCGACATAAGTCACTACAATGTCTTGCTACTTTTTTATGCAATATAGTCTTCCATTGAACATTTGATCGAACTGTGATTGCACTATTATCTCTCTCACCCTATCTGACCCACATTTATTCTGAACATGGGTCTTAAAAATTTCACTGAACATATAAGCTAAATCAAGATATGAGTCATATCAACACATTAACAATTTTATTCTATTTTGTTTGACAATCCTAAATTCACATGCTTTAGCTTTAAACGATTCACTTTGCCTTAAACCTGGCCATTTCCCGTATTATTAATTTAGATACATAATTGTAGAACCAGAATAGAATTTATCGAAAAGAATATTCGTCGTTCAAATAGTCTTTCTAATATGATGGGGGTCTTTAAACAATTATTTTATACGTTTATATAAATTTAAAATATGTCAAGCTTACACAGCGACTTAATCAGACATTAACGAAACGACAAGTGAATGTGAGTGGCCATATAATGGCTTGGATCTCTAAGGGATGGGGCATATGGCACTGGTGACTTTATTTTCTAGGATATATATATGTATATAAATAACTGCCGTACTGTAAGTTAAAACAACACATACCAGCGAACAATATTGTTTTCAATTGGATCCTCACCGGCTTTCACTCTAATATACAGTAATATTTATAAGCATATATGAAAACATTAAACCAGCTAAGGCAGTTCATGAGTCAGTGATAACAACGAAACATATGGCATAATAACTAAGTTTAAATTAATAATTTGATAACAGGTTCATTGGTTGTAATAAGAACAATAAAGGCTTGAATCAATGTACGTCAAAAACTTGTAAAAATAAACATTGAAATGATTTGAAAACGCTCACATAAATGAGTTTAGTTACAAGTTGTTTTGAATGCACATTATCAGTACTTTCATTTCATTTTGTAAATAGGATTATTTTAAATATGATACAGGTTGTAAGAAGCTAATCATAACCTAACCAAACAAAACGGATTCATGTTATCTTGCTCAAATTTTTGTGCTTGCTCTCTTTGGTGTGATAAAGGGAACTATGTATATGATATTGTTCATTTTTTAAAGAAAGGAAATGAAACTGATATTTTGAAAAGTGTTCATAACCATACGATCCAATACAAAGAATTTTTTTGATTAAAATATGTTAATAGGTATATTTCAAATTCTCAAATGAGTATACAAACTCCTAGTAAGACACATTTGGAAGAATTAGTAAATTTTGTATAATTCTTAAAGTTAGCATAGTGAACTTCTATAATTTATGTGAACAAGTGTAAAAAATCTGTCTTCATATTCATATGGAATAATTTTAGAACCAATGACAACTAACATTCACTTTAGTTAAGGAATCACAAACAATTAGATACTTGAACTGGTGATATATTCTTTAAGTAAATGGCATTTTATTGATGAAAAAAAGAATACTTGCTAAACCAAATCGGATAAGTCACAGGATACTTTTAAGTCTAAAGAAATTTTAGCGGGGCCTTTTATTTTATCGTCATTTAGATTGGACGATATTGTCGAAGGGCTCACCACTTTAATGGTGAGGGATCTGATTCCAATTAGATCATATGAATGATTTCTGTCGAAATGTATATGTCGCCTATCCTCGTATATAATCATCGACTCAAATCACGTTAGTCAATAACGGAATTACATAAGTAAAATACGAGAATGAATTTCGAATACATATATTTCATACAATCTTTGATCCAGACGAAATATCAGACAAGCGAATGGAATAGATCGAAACGAAAGGACGCGTAGTGAGGACGGCGGATAAGCCAACTCCATTTAGTCAAGCGTTAATCAATATTTATAGTCACACGAAAATAGGCTACAGAAATGTGATGAATAGGATAAGAAGTGTACACACATATATGCGCTCATATAAAAACAGTGAAGATTGATAATCGAAAAATTAACAATGTCAAAATATGACTCAAGTAGAATGAATAGATTGGCCTGTCAGAATGCCAGAATAAGATATATGGACTTAATAACCAAAAACTACAAAATCTGTAATCCAAGTTGTTAGGTCGCGATAGGCATAATGAATGGTAACTTTGGGATCCATTTATGGACCAATACTAGACGTATACTTTTATCGTATAATTGTTAAATAACTAAACTATTCATATCAATATTCCTTTTATTATAGGCTTTATTTTGACCTATGAACCATTATTATACCTTACACCATTCTTGAATTATGCCCTGTCTATTAGTCACTGCCTCCCACATTCACACCCACATTTAGCCAAATTTTGCACAAATGTTTTCTATTTTATGGTACGTTGTGGTCTGTTTGATTGGTATATAAACTCAGTATGCTTAGAATATAATGATTCATATCGCAGAGGCTGAGACTTGTGTTCTGAACTTAACTGGCTGGGCTAGGCAGGAAGCAGGGTCAGTCAGGAATCTAGACTGTTCATACGACTTTACGCGTCATTAGTCCTATCGATAAGTCACTGCTCTCTAATTGGCGATATCGTTAACAAGGCATGCAGTCCACAAGTTATAACACAAGTGTAAGCCAGCTAATATAAGAAAGTCGATCATTCACTTATAAAATCTAACCACTGAATTGTTATCGTTAACTGAGTGAGTCGAGTCACTTGTAAACATATATGAATTGCAAGTATTATTATCGGCTAAGAGAATACAAGCTGGACTATACAGTATTTACTTAGTTGAATGAATTAAATATCATAAGTGTACATCTGTTCCCAAATGTTAATTGAACATTTATAAATGAATAATAAAAACGTAAAAAATATGAAGCAACTTATAATTGAAAGTATAGAATCAGTTTAACTATTTACGAGAATACATAATCTTATAATAAAACCTGATCAAATAATAAATAACAAAGATTAATACAACTAAATCAAATTGTTTAATCTTTGATTTTATATAGTTTCATTTACTTATAAAACAAAAACATATAAATTTTGTTTTCGAAATAAACATGGTTCCACTAAAATATTGATGTGTTAACAATTATTGACAAGCTACTACCTAGTTTATTTTTAATGTTGTGACCTTATTTTCAATATTAATTACACAAAATATAATGAATACTTTCTTACATTATACTATTGTATATTATTTATTTTCCTTGCAAAAACTATTGAACACTTTAGATTATATTTTGAATATCTATTCTGAAATAGTGTACATACCTAATAGAATGTAAACAGGCCAGTAAGAACAAACTTCGTTTTCTTATATTTCAATATAAAAGCACAACAAATATTCAACAAACAAGGATTTTTATCGGAAGGGGTCTTGTGGAGATTGTAGTAATTTCAACAGTTGAGATCATGAGTCAATTGAAGCTAGACCACCACGGAAAATCTGGAAGCACGTGACGGCCGTCTCATCCTATTGTGGGACTCCTCAGCAGTGCGCATCCACGACCCCGCCTCGCGGAACTCGAACCCAGGACCTATCGGTCTCGCGCCAGGCGCTTAACCAACTAGACCACTGAGTCGGCCGGCATCCACCGGTGTTAATGTCTAAATTCAACTAATCAACGAAATTGAGCGACACATCCACCATTGTCATCAGTGAGTTACTACTTCACAACTGACCCGGTTGAACTCCACTGGTCACTGCTTCTCACTAGAACTCCAGGATATATCTCTTGAAGCCAGTCACTAGTGAGCATATATTGAGTGTCACAATAGGACGAAACGGCCGTTCAGTGCTTTCAGGTTTTCCATGGTGGTCTAGCTTCAATTGACTCTGTTGAAATATGAATTTATTTGTGAAGGTTCATATTTTCCTAATGTTGATGTTGAGAAATACAATTAATCATTCTATATCGATATATATGCATACATATAAGATCGCCTAGATTGTACCATTTAGTCATGAGTTTTAATAAAGTTGTATTATATATGGTAATGTGAACAAATCAAAGCTAGGATACAGGTACATTCAGCTGTTGGGTACCAAAAAGAAACTTATGTCCTATATTCCACTGTGACCCATAATTTAGCTTTACTTATCAAGAAGATTCAATTATTGTTTTGGTTATACCATAATGTGTGTATTTTAGACCTTCGCTGTTAGCAGCTGATAAGAAAACGTAGATAAATAAATTGAATTCATTTTATTTTGCAAACCATGTTGTCCTTGTTCCGTTTATATGTACCAAAGTGATTACAAAAAACTTATGGTTTTTTATCAGTCGAAAGGCATTTTGTGGAAACGATAAGCCAAAAATGTTATATTGAATCATTTAAAATTCAGAAGTTATTTAGAAATAGTCTTCTGTTTGTTTATTTACAAATAAGTTTATACACAGATTCCAACTTTTATGTCATTTATCAGGAAAGAATTTTGTAACAATGTGTGAGGAATCTTATTAACTCCAGGATCCATGTAGTTCAAACAGAATCTAATGAAGCCATTTATCAAAATAAAGATTTAAAACACTAAAGTGCATAATCATTGTTTGAAATGTGTAGACAATTAAGTTGCCGTAGAAAGATTACAATTAGGTTGTAGAATTTTAATCTCACCGATTATTTGCTACAGTTAGTACTCATCGTTTTTTTAATGCTCTACAGACTTGGCAAACTTTACTCCTTTCTTATTAGAACTGCTTTATAGTAAAAAAGTTCAGATATTTCATAAAACTGATTTTATTTTCTGAAGCAGATTATTAATTACTAAATACAATCTTCTTAGCTCAATAAAGTATATTTTCAATGAATCTGTTCGATTTAGATGCCCTTTCCGTTTATTAGAATATAGGTAAATTCTATTTCATTAGAACGATACCCATAACTGTATTCAAAATCATGATGCCGTAAGTATTGTTGTCCATCGACCGTTCAGGAATGACAAAAGTGCATATAAATGACATTTTGAATATGAAGATTGATTTGTCGCCAAATAAAGTACTTTTTTTAAGAAAAAGGTATACAGCAAAGAAACAGCAGAGGATTTTAAAAGTTCAACCAAACTTGGTAAATAAATATTGTACGCCTAGAGCTAAAATTGAAATATTTGAATAATAACATTTCGAGTTTCGTATAACCGTCATCTCCTTTATCTAAAATATACCTGTAAAGCATTTTAACAGAGCTAGATAGCACAGAATGTTCAGGAGAATAAAATTCTCTATATTGAATAGAATTTCTATCATTACCAATAATCACCTTCGTTTATAAACAGGTTAGAGACAATAATAAAACTTTTGTATTAACTAAATCTCTATAATTGAATAAATGATTAAAAAAAATTGATTATTTTTTTTCTGTATCACTACCTATTTTTGCTAAATCATAAGATTCCATGGCTTTTATTATTCATCAATTTTAACGAACTGTTTCTTAGTAGTTTTACGTAAAAATAAATTGATTTCAAAATGTTATTTTTATTTTTTTTTCACCTTAAATTAAACATACAATACAATAATTAAATAGCATATGATAAATTTTTAAGAAATAAATCGTTCAACTATACATTTACATCGTGAATAAAGTTATTCTCAGAAAGAATATTGTTATAACTTGTAACCGCCGATTAGAGAGCAGTGACTTATCGATCGGGTCAGTGACGCGTAAAACACATGTGAGCAGTCTAGATTTCTGATTGGCCCTGCTTTCCGCCTAGCCCAACCAGTTAAGTTCAGAACACAAATCCGAGCCTCTGCGATATGAATCATTTATTTCAAACATACTCGGTTTATATATCAACCAGACAGACCACAACGTACCATAAAATGGAAAATAACATTTGTACAATATTTAGCCAACACGAAAATGACACGTGAAATAAATATTGACCAGTGAGGAAATGATGCCATTTCAAGTCCAAGGATAGCATTAGACTTAACAGGATAATTTTTGGGATATTTTTCTGAATATCCCAACAAATATGATCACTTTTTTAGTATGTATTCAATTGATGATTAACTTCTAAGCAAATTATTTTATATATAATATCAATTTAGTGAACGATAAAAAACAGTAATTAGGCTTCAATACAGTTTAGATGTTATACCTTGTTCAAACTTATAGACATATAAAAGTAACTAAGAAAATGATTTAGTAAAATGATACATCTAGATATTTTCAATTAAAACGTAAAATCTTGGGAACAAGACAGATATGTCAAGGTTGAGAATTCCTCCTAATGATACGGCTGTTTGCTATGATTGTAAAATAATTTTACCTGCTACTTATTGAAGCAGAACTCATTAGTGAGTCAATGAATTTGAATAGAATAAACTAATAGTTAATCAATAATCTAATGTGTGTATGGGATCCGCAAACTCAGTGAATTTATAGGCATGACCACGAAATGTAATTCATAATTGAATTATACATTTACTTCAATGTTAATGCCTTCCCCCGAACGATGGTGGGGTTCCTTTATTCGCTTCACGGTGACTTTTGTTGCTCGGTAAGTGGTTAGTTGGGAAGTCGATAAACAAATTCACATTCTTCCAAAGTGTGACTCATGAGATTCGTTTCATGGGCAGAATTCATGAGTTCTTCAAATTACACTTGGATAAGCTGTATTGTCGACTTTCACTCGAGAAAACTTTGAAATCACTTAGATTTTCGATTCCGATGTGGTTGTTATGACTCAAACTAAATGCTGATTACTGCTACTGATATACTGTTTACTATGACTGCTTTGTTATACCACTTAATGATAAACATGGCTACGGAATCTCTCGATCAATAGAGTCAAATGTCTCCTTAATGTCAAAAAATACAACTAAAACCGGACGTCGGCAAGTATATTCATCTTTTATCACCTGACGGAAAGTGAATATTCGGTTAGTAAATAGTTTCAGGATTGAAGGCAGTCGTTAGTTGTTTATGAGGGCCAGATAGACAATGAATGATCAGAAGGTATTATTTTCCGTACTATAATGGTAAAAGCTGGTTCTTATGTCGTTGTCACAAAATTTCATTATAAACGTCTAGCTCTAAAATTCTAGCGACTATATCTCAATCAATTTAATTTCCAACAAACTGGACTACCCAATATTGTTAAGCGCCTCTAAAATCAACTTATCAGGTCCTTCAGCTCTCCCCCGGTTAACTAAAGTGTGAGCCAGTTTGATCTTATTCTTATGCCGTAATTTAATCCGGTTAATATATATGTTAAACGTAGAATAGCAATTATGATATACATAATTCTCTTTTGTATATTTTCTATTAACACCTGAAAAAACAGGGTTTATGCAGGGATATTATAAATCATTTCAAAGGGTAAGTTTAAAAAGACAATTTGTAAAAGTACCGAAGTGTACTTGCATTCTATGCACCATTGGGATTCAACGATAATGTTATATTTTGGAAACAAAATGTAATTCTTCATCGTTCATCAAATCATTACAAATAATCAGTATTAATCAACAATAATAGAGAATGATGATAAAGCACTGAACGGTAAACAATCGAATAAATAGATTATTGCATAAAATATCAATATAATACATAGTAAGACAGAGAGACCAGATGATAATCAATTCTGTTGTATTTATTATAAGAAATGAATGAAATTGTAAAGGTGAATTTGTATCTTTTTTTTACTGTAAAAAAAAACACAACATAATTCATGCTGTATGTTTAATCTTTTGTTAATATTTTTTCCCGACGAAAAAGAAAATATTGACATATTGAGTAGTTTGTTAATTTTGTTTCAATTTGACGGTAGGTAGCTTTTGAAGGCACAAACCAATACGAAAAATCGTTTTCAAAAAAAAACAAAACAGAATTGATAAGATCTACACATACAGATACAGAGATGATTACATAGTCAAATTCATATAATTTAAACAGTACAATTGAGTGAATAGAAAATAAAATTATATAATTAAATAATAATTAGATTCATAGAGAATGTTATTAATTCACAGATGTCTCTGAAATCATTTATTTTTTCTCAAAACAGAAAAATGACATTATGGCGCAACCAAATGAAAATAATCAGTAGTAATAGAGAATAAAATGTGATCATCAATGGTATGTGGATACATTTAAAATTTTACAATTATGAATAGAAGTATTGAAATAAAGTAGAACATCTCGGAGTGAGGAGTATTAAAGTCTGTCATTCATATTACAATTAGTAATAACAATAAAAATAATAGTAATTAAACATGGTAAAAGTAAAGTAGTAAAGAAATTAAGCACCAAAATTCATAATTAATCTATATTTGATGATTTATTAAAGACCCCCTTCAAATGCTTTTACCAATTCCAGTACACGTGAGACACGATGCTCACTTGGCGGATTAATCTAAACGGTATAGTTGAAAAGAATAAATAAACATGAGAAAGTCAAAATACAAAATCAATAAGTAGTTTACAATAATGATTTTGTTCATGTTTTTTGCTATTTTTTTCTCGAAATAAAAAAGGGAGGTCAGGTGAATTCTAGCAAGTTATTAACCATGCAATTCAATTACGCTGAAACACTGATATTTTAAATAAAACTGAAAATTTAGATCATTAAACAATAATAACAGTAATAATAATAAAAAAAACGAAAAAAAAGATCATTAGAAACACCATTCATATTTGACAGGAGAATGATCATGATCAACAAACAATTTTGAATCTGAGCGCCAAAGAATCAATAAGTGTGAATCAAAGTAAGGGAGAAGTAATACGAACATCATGTTCATACATGCAGTGGTTCGATATAAGTATATATTAGTTAGTAACTAAATGATAAATTATGTTATGGTCTGGTCAATATACGATCTAGGATCAATGTGATGAACAAGTACAACTAAATTAATGAACCTGACAACTTAACAGATTAACGCTTCAATACAGTTTTAAAAGTAATGGAATCGATTGAAAATTGACGACTTATTTCAAATAAAAGTCGGTTTTATCCTATGAGAACAAGAATGAATTGCTTTAGAAAAAAGATATATATATAAAGATATATATATAAAGATATATATATATATATATATATATATATATATATATATATATATATATATATATATATATATATATATATATATATATATATATATATATATATATATATAAAGATATATATATAAACTAACAAATCATTATGAAGTTTGAATGTAGAGCAGTTTTGTAAATGATTTTAAACAAGAATCAAGAGATGGTTAACTACTTTTGCATTACAAGGATATTCCATGATGACAAATCGATCTTACTATTTTAAAAACTTGTAAATAGTGAATAAAATCAAACACACACGTCATACTTGATGAAAAGTGGTTCTTTATTACTTAGGACATAAGGAAATACTAATCAACCGGTTGTCACACTAAGTTGTCTTCGACAATCACGTTCTGTCTAGTAAACAGGAGTCTGAATTCATCGTAATATTTAGTCGGAGAATGATGCAGCCACTGGTCACTACAACATAAGTTGATAAAGCACTTATATTTCTCCCTTGTTCTAAACTACCAAATTATCTGTCAACATAGACAATTGGTATTTGGTTGATATTCATTCAGCGAACAAAGTATATTATGACTAAATTCCGTAAAAGAGATTAGACGTTTTCTATGATAAACATAATAGTAACAATTGACAAAAGTATTATATTTAGACGATGTATATCTTTTTCATGAAATTATTTACAGCCTAATAGCTTCGTAAAGAAACGCCATAGCATAAGCAAAATATTTTGAATTTTTTTACAATGAGTGATTAGTCAGTGGTTACAATAAGGGTCAGTAATTGACGTAGAAGTTAAAGTTTAAATCTTATTTCCATATATTAAAAGTTTACGAAAACAAGAACACAAATATGTTTAACTTTTAGAGTAATTATCAACCGAGAGAAGTAGGCTAGCGAACTCGCAACATGGAATATTTCTCGTGTATTAAGAAATAAATGAGGTAACTTCAGTCTATACTTCAATAGTTTAGAATCCGTGTGTTGCGCAAACCAAAAGATAATTTACTTAAAGATGAAATGAAGTTAAACTGCAAAAATAACAAACACAAAGTAATGAATGTATGCTAAGTTAATTATCATAAGGTGTTATAATTTCATTTCGTACATTAACCAATTAGTCAGCCAGTCACAACGTAGAACCTAGTACGTATGTACATCGATTCAAGTTGCCATATCCTATTACCACATATAGATTAAATCGTCAGGCCAGATCCCAGAATGGTAAAGGTAATAACAGTATCAGTGTTAACAGAAAAGATTGGGGATCGAAGAGACAATTCAAGAAAATATAAATTAGTGAGATTAAAAATACTGTGAGGAATTTAGAATCTCAGGATTTGGGAGGTGACAAAGAACGGATGCACCTACGCGATTGCAAATAACTTTGAGCCATATCATTCAAAGTCTCTAACTATTGATTACGATGATCATGCGGATCCCAACCAGGTAGTCTACACCTATTAACAGCGATGCCATTGACTTCATGGACTGATGACATATTTTGATTCGGACGCCTTTACCTTTCTTCTAGCCTGCTTCTACATCAAACATCACCCGTCGAGGTAACCGGTGGTTGCGCATACGCAACACGCGTACTAACTACCTCAGTTGAAGATTTACTACCTTATCAACATGTGCTTCAGAATGAGTGAGTCTTCTATAGAAACAATTCAACGATGGTTGATGGCAATGTGGTCTATTTGAGTTCATCGATGGGTCGGTTGTCGGAATCACCACGTTTGACAATGTTTCTCATTATGTTTAAAGTTAGTATTTGCTAGAAATAGACGGTTATCTGAGCACTGTTGCAATAGACACCGTTCGCTGAGTTCTAACACCGTAAGATCTGCCGAAGTGTCTTTCGATTTGGTTTAGTCTACCTACATGAGCATTAAAATCACCTGGTACTATTACTACACCAATGTTTAGCTTTTTGAAGGTTGGACAGCTTCCCCAAAAATCCGTCTTTAACTTCGTACGAGTTTCAATCAATCGGAGGGTAGGGAGAGACAACGAAAGGGAAATGGGATTTTTCCCTATTTTCCCAAGTTCTTACTGTCTCGTTTAGTCAAACAGAGCACAAGCGACTGTCCATTAGAGTTTGGTCTAACAGATCCTGTTCTGTTTTTGAATTTAACGCTATAGCTACGCCAGCAAGGCCACGGGGAGTAGTAGTGGGAGCTACATATACTCGAAGGATAACTCATGCCGGTTCTTTATATTGACGAGGTTAAATAAACGACCATACCTGGATCGTACATGAGCGTTTCGGAGACGCAACATATATCGATGGCACGAAATTCTAGAATCCTAGCTAAAAAGCTTGTCCTATCTGACAAGGTTTGAACATTGAAAGCCCCAACATTTAGTTTACAGCGTGGTTTCAGAAGACTAAGAATAACATTCGTAGAATTAAATTAGCAGCTGTGGCGTGTGGTGACAAAGATATACGAGAAAGGTTAATCGTGGGGATAGAAGAGTTATTAAGAAGTGAGAGAAGGATTTGATCGTCAACATCAGCAACATCTCTCCCGTCTCTAACCTTTGCGATCCAGCTTGGGTCCAATATATCTAGCTGATTACGAGCCCTGCCAAGTTGTATCTCCTCATTTCCGCAGCTATTTGACTGGCCCTCCCGGTCTGGCGCATTGTTCGAACATTCAATGTACCTATAAAAATTGTTGCTCCGGTTGCTAGAAGAGGCAAAATCCTCGTGACTTCCGAAGAATCTTGGCTTTCATAATGAGGCGTCATAATTCTTCCTTAAACTTGGAGGGCAGAGTTTAAATGGTCTAGTTTTATTCTGGTTAGTGTTTTTATAGCAAGGTCGTTTTCTACAGGATGGGGTTGCCGATCTTACGCCAAACACTTCAACTTTACCTCGACTTGGAACCGGCAGTAGCCCTAGAAGAGCTATAGGCGTTTTTCTCATCAATACTCTACTCATTTACAAAAGAAAAGATTGACATTCAATAACAAAAAAAGCTCACTTTAACTCTGTTTCATCTATATGATTCATCTTATAATTTAATAAACTTAGACAAACTATACCAAAACTGCGGCGTACTTTCAAGGTTTTTCTAGAAATTTTACGTATGTTTGCATTTATTTTTTATGATCAAATTACTATCAAATTACAAGTATTGTAATAAGATAGCTCACTTATACGTGTTCATGTTAATTCACAAATTCCAAGTAAACTATGTAGTTCTAGTTAACCGCATCATTATGCTAATTGGTAAATTGGAATTTGATCATTTTTACAAATCTATGTAACCTACATCTCTCAATTAACATTACCACATACCTGTAATACGAAATTATATATTTTTTGTGCATGTGTGTATATGTGTAGTACACAATTTGTACATATATTGACATACATCATGTGATACAACTGATTACACAATAGACCACCACCATACACGTGGACTAAAGTTTATGTATAATGAATGAAAAAAAGACATGTTGAGTCAATAAGAAGAGTTTAGTAATTCTTTTTTTGCAAAAAAACGGGACGTATATTTCTTTTGAAATAAGTTACAAATATAGAGAAGTCCTTTTTAAAAAAAAACAAATTTCTTATCCATTAAAACTCAATATGAAATACTGTTGTAAAGATTGGTCAGTAAATATGTTTCCATGATTTAGGGTGTTAAGATGCATAACTCCTTCTTGTTATGCTATACTCATAATTATCTCTATTGAGGATAATTATATATATTCTCTTTATGAATTGGGTACTTAGTCAGATATAATCAGAGTAGATTTTAAAACAAATATGTAACACCCCAAGTGACCATACCAACAACAGAGACAACGACAAGGATGTGTATTATCTCGTTTTCCAACTGTTTTCGGTTATTGTAAACATAATATGCAACTTCATTTACATTGGTGGTTTGAATCTTTGCACTGATGTTTAGGGCTGCAATTAATCAGTCTCTTATTAGTATATGTGCACTCTGTGCGGATTGCCTCTGCATTACTATTAAGTCACGAGCATTATAAGCAGGGATAGATGGTGACTAGCAGTATAATCAAGGAAGCGCGTTTCGTCCTAGCTATGTAGAGAACGCAACGAAGTTTCAAACGAACGGAACTGGGTTTGAATCCCGGAGTGCACGTCAACTATGGAACGGACGTTCATTCAGCTGACGAACCTCTAATGGAACGAAACGCGTATCCTGGACTCCGCTGCTGACCACCGTCCATCTCTACTTACAATATACGGACTATTTATCCACTATGTGTATTATATATATATATATATATATATATATATATATATACATCGATGGAACGTGGTATTTCGTTACACAAGTGACACAATAAAAACCAAGTGAATACCAGAGTAAATCTTAAGGGTAACGATTTTTGGTTTCTAATTTAGTTGGGGAAAAAGAAACTAGTTTTGTGTACAGCATCGTTAATAAATCACTTTGTTACATCTTTTTATTAGATTTGAACAAATAGTATGTTAATTGTATTTTTCTATAATTAAACATATAATAAATAATTTCTTCGTATATCTTATGACTAAATTAAAGAAATTAACGTAAGTAGGATCTACTCGGGGGGTGACCCCCTAAGGAAACCACCCGTTTCGATTTGGGCACCTAAGCAGTATTCCAGCCCTCATGCAAATCGGATGGTTTGTGTGGCGTATATGTATTTGATGCCTCCTTATACCAATGTTTGTATTTAAATAAATAAATAGTTACAAACAACATGGGGGCTGGAATGAATGTCAATCAGATTATATTGCATCACTTTGCATCAGAAAAGCGTAAGGAAAATCAATAAGGTGAAAGTCAAATGAGTCAAATTAATAATAGTGAAAAGCTAGAAGCCAAGAAAATGGTCACAATTTAGCGAAGCTAGAGGAAAAATATATCTGCACGACTATGTAAAATTTCGAGTTATGCCACTTTTTTTATTTAACCTTAAGTCAAGGTTATCAAGTAGAATCCAAGCAGAAAGTATGTACAATTTCCGATACGGCTCATTCAATGATTTTATGGATTGATAATCATGTCTCGATTTGAGCGAACCAAACGCTTTTCAAGCTTACGCCTATACTAGACAATGTTGCATGCTAGGGTAATTGATAGGCGGGCATCTGTAACACTTATACCAGCCACTTACGAGAACGAATGGTTACAATCAACTTACAATTTTTGCCTAAAACCTTAGTATTAGTTATCCAGTTAGTCAATCGTATATGAGCAATAAGTCAAAGAGATCAATAACTGATAAATTCACAAGAAAAATGTCAAACATTGAATAATTTCCCACTGAAGATGATATCAAAATGTAAACACTTAGGAAAGGAACACTAAAACATAAGTTTTATCACATTTACACAGTATTAGCAAAGATGAGTACTGCAATAAATTAGTCTTATTGCTCATTTGAGGATAAGGTAATGTTTCGTACGTAAGTATAAGCTCCTTTCATTTAATGAATTTACCATCATTAAAACAACTAATTGAAACATTAGATTGTAATCTGTACATCAATCATGATAAATCGCTCGGTAGTCAATTCAGATAAGATCACTTAATCATTAGAAAAAAACATTAAACAATAATGACCTTGTGATTACATAATGTTGTTGACGTCATCTCTTATCAACTATTACTATTAGTCGTAAATAATAAAAATTCTTTCTATTTACCCACCTACACAATAACAGTGGGTTTGAAATTAAACTCTCTCTCTCTCTCTCTCTCTCTCTCTCTCTCTATATATATATATATATATATATATATATATATATATATATAACAACATTTTAACAAATTACTGAGGGTTTAATAAAATAATTTGTCATCATTGTTGAAGTCTTTTAACTTTCTACTTTCAGGACAATTAAATAAAAGTTCTGTTATTAATCTAATAAGTAGTTGAATTATTAATAATGTTAGTTTTTTTCTTTTTTAGTTGGATATTATCTACTAAAATCCAAATACTTTATCAATTGAATACATTAAGAAAATTTATAAATCAGTAACTATGCCTAAACTATGAGAAATTTGTTTGATATAATAAAAATGGATTAATCTTATGATAAAATGAAAAAAGATAACACTTTACAACTAATATTGTATATACTAATTATAAATTGAAAGACAATGAGGAAAGAAATAAAATTAACCATGCATATACATTCATTTAGTTATTCATATAATAAAAGTGAATGTAGCATAGAAGAAACAAACACACCAAGAATTCGGGTTTTTTTTAGAAACCATTTGATAGTAATTCTAATCATCAAAATAAACTCACTTTTATTCATCCTTAAGAGTAACAAGCTATATTTATATCGTAATGTAAATTATAACGTATTTGTTGATTTAAAGATGGATAGACAAAAAAATATAGATATTATATTGATGTTTATCAAAGCAGTAATTTATATACTTGTTTTTATATAAAGACATTCAGACGAAGAAAAATGTATATTATTTCCTACGAAGTGAAAAGTACATATATGTATATAACTGCTGTAATCGTGTATTTTACTACAGATAGATTACATCGATCTTCGAAACCGCAATATTTAAAAATGCATCAATATTAGGGATTAAAATATAATTGGATTAAGAAGTTTGTAGAGATGATACTTAGATATTCTGAGGGCTAGTATCAAATAGAGAACCGTTGAAAACTAGAAAAAGTTGGACAGTTTTTGTTCTCATTTGACACCTTAGTAGCATGCATTAACATGATATTGAATCTCGGATATACATATCTTGTAGAAAGCATGATAATTTTAGATCTCTGAACCATGAAGGTTTCGGATTAAGACAAGTTAATCTATGTAAAGCTGTTTATCAGAGAATATGAAAGATGACTAAATATATTTGGTTTCAATAGTTAAGCGGTATTTTATTTATTCTCATCGCTGATAGATCCCACAATCAACATAAATATATTTACTTCAACTACTGATATATATTTAACTTTGTCAGTAGAATTAAGAGATTGAAACAAAATATCCAGTTGATGAAAATACATTGATTGACTTGCAATTATTATCTTTTTTACTACCAATGAATAAAAGTTATATAACCGTCAATATACTTTTTCTTTAAATTCGTATAATACCTCTCTGTTTATTGATACTAGAAAGGATCCACAGTTTACATGAATTATTTATTGAGTATTTCACCAATTTTTGTACCATAGTCCTGATAAAAATGTTATCCATCAAACAATTAACGCAAACTATTATAGAAACTAATAAATAAAAAATTTCATGGTATTTAACGTCATCTGCTATTAAACTATCTGAGGTATTTTCATGTGATTAACAGACTATTCCAGTGATTTAATTGATTTAAAATTAAGATACATCTTAACAATAAGATAACTTAAGAGGGTACAGTTGAACTAATCAACACGATTCATCCGATAGTCTACAGACAATCGACAACACAATAAGTACTGATGATTGTAAGCCTGAGAGTATAATTCAATGAAATAAAATTTTTAGTTTATAATTACAACATTAACTGATGAACAAGCCTTTATTTATTGCATTTAATTCAACAGGGTAATGCGATTAATTTGTTGAGATGAACACTATTCGACTGAATTTCATGTAATCACTATTTAGTCGAATAAAACGATATGATTACTATGGAGACGCAGTTGTGAAGATCATTTTAAAAGTTAAACTTTTTCGATTTTTTATTGATTAGCCTTCTGTACAATGAATGGATGAACACCATTTTACAATTTTAATTTGGCTAAAAATAATACGTTACTGAAATATTATTACCACATAGAACAACTTTTTGGAGATTGTTGAACTGTATCATTCGCATCACGGATTGGTTTTAGTTAGACAATCATTGAAAACAAGAAAATACTGGACAACTGTTCCGTCCTAGTATGGGACTCCTTAGTATTGCGAATCCGTAACTTCACTAAAGAGATTGAACAAAGGACCTTTAGGTATCGCAGTAAGAGCTTAACCTTTTAGACTACTAAGTCAACACATTTAATGGTTTAACTTCAATCAATTTGTGAAATTGCACAACCATGTGTCATTGATGGGTAACTGTCCCACAACTGACATAGGTGAACTCAACTGATTACGGCTTACTGAATCATTTTAAAAGAAAACTTAAACTGAAACAATAATGTTCCAAAACTGAATATATACATTTATTACACATATTGACTACAATTAAAAGGAAGTATTTTTATTAATAATAAATGGCAATCTTAAAAAAATGTTAACATACACGAGAAGTTTCACCAAATTTTTGACGAAAAGCCACTGTTTGAGGACTAGGACTTTGAGGATATTTATTTGAATTTTCTTCAACACCAATCAGAACAGGTTTCTTCATCATAGATACAGAGATATGTGTTTTTGTCTCAGTATTAATATGAGTAGTTTGATTACTAACTTTGAGACTAATATCATTATCATTATTACTGGTATTAGTAGTATCATTACTGTTAGTATCCACAGACGCTTTACATGGGATAAAAACAATTGATGGAATTGATTCAGAAGATTGTTTTGAACTAATCAGATTGTTCTCATGATGATCGGTTAAGTTTTTATTTACATCTTTTGTTTTTAAACAAATCTGTGATGATTGAATTTCACTACCGGATGATGGGATGAACATGGAACGTGGACGAATATGTTGATCACCGCCATTGTATGATGCCAGCGGTGTTAAATTATGGAAATCACTGGTAGAATTTATTTTTATTCTCTCAAATCCTGTACTTTTCTTTGGGGGTTTGAAAGGTGTTATTGTTTCTGGATCAAATGACGTGAGTAAACAGTCAGATTTACGGTAGGAATCAGATTTACGTTTCAGTGAATTCGAGTCATACGCAGATTTTACGCTGAAATTAAGAAATAAAGCAAGAGAATAAACTTTAGATAAAAAACGATACAAAATGGTATGTTGTCCGGTGTGGCTAAAATGAGGAGACAACGGCTCAATAAGAAGTTCAATAATCGAACACCTTGTGAACACAGGTCACTTAATCAAGACAGACTCTGCATTCAAAGCCATCTACACGGTAAGTAGAAGTCTTCCAAAGACAATTAGACTGCATCTTCTTTGCCGAAGCATTAGCCATACGTCTGGAAACACCAGAATTGTGTGTGCATAAGAGACTGGTACAACCTCTTCTTCTACCATGGTCTTAATGTCTTATAATTTATTTTCTCTTTCTCATACTCTTCTTCCTTTACAACTATCTGCTTCACCTTCCATCTTCCCCTTAAATTCTCTACCCCCAACTGGTTTATTTTGTTTCTACGATCATTCTGATTACATCTAATCTCAATTTCAACATTTTATCTTATCATGTTGAGCCATCCTTTCCCACTGACAATTTTCCCTATATATTTTTTGATGAATACTCAAGCCATTAACAATCAAACGATTATTAAACTTTCCTTGCTTTATAAAACAAAAAATTTTTTAATACTTTTGTTTATTTAACCTCACTGTCACCATGTCTAACAGAAGTTTATTATCATCCTGTAAAAATAAGTACATATATTTGCGATGGTACAGCTTTGAAAATGAATTCGCCGAAAAGAGAACTCTTCGCTGAACTAATCTTTCTTATTTGAAATGGTATGTATCATAAAAAAGATGGAATAACACACTGGTTCAGTTAAAAGTAAACGCTTGCTAATTTTCGTCTAATCAGACTAAAAATGTGTTGAAAGCTCTAATGCTAAAGCTGAATGAATATGTACACAAGCCTTGTGTAAATATATATAAAAGTGAACTGATCGAGACAGGGATATATAGGCGGTGGTTTTGGGGCAGATGAGTTTTTCATTTGCTCACAGTAAGCCAGCCCATATATGGATTTCCGACATACCACATGTCCTTGAGAAAGTAGATGATCTGTCCGAGATAGACCACTATAGCAGTAACAAACGTCGAGTTAGTATTACACCAGACATTGCAGTCAGTGCAGTTTCCAAAAATTAAAATTACTTGATCAACTGGCATTTACTAGTTGATGATTAAGTTGAAAGAGCAAAAAAGACTTCCATTTGACTGTATAGTCTACAAGAACGATGAGATATCGTGCAAAATACAATCCAAACTCAACCATCAAATTTCTCGAAATACTGTAATTATTACGAATACAGTATTTTGTATTTGGCAGTATTTACGCCTGTTACTCCCAATGGAGCATAGGCCGCTGACCAGCGTTCTCCAACCCACTCTGTCCTGGGCCTTCTTTTCTAGTTCCATCCAATTTTTGTTCATTTTTCTCATGTCTATCTCCATTTCTCGGCGTAATGTGTTCTTTGGTCTTCCTCTTTTTCTTTGACCTTCAGGATTCCATGTGAGGGCTTGTCTTGTGACGCAGTTGGGTGCTTTTCGGTATTTTGATCAGAAGTCCTTCTTTCCAGTCTGTTGGTACTTGCTCCTCATCCCAAATTTTGCTGAAGAGAATGTGGAGTATCCTTGCAGTTGCCGCTACGTCTGCTTTTAGTGCCTCTGCTGGGATGTTGTCTGGTCCTGCTGCTTTTCCACTCTTTATTTGTCTGATGGCCATGCTGATTTCTTCAATTGTTGGTGGGCCAACATTGATTGGGAGGTCCGTGGGTGCTGCTTCGATGTTGGGTGGGTTCAGTGGAGCTGGTCGATTCAAGAGTTCTTTGAAGTGTTCTACCCACCTGTTTTGTTGCTCTTCAATGTTGGTGATTACCTCGCCTTCCTTGCTTTTCACTGGTCGTTCTGGTTTGCGGCGATTTCCAGAGAGTTTCTTTGTCGTGTCATACAATTGTCTCATGTTTCCTTCTCTTGCAGCCTTTTCCGCCGTCGTTGCTAAATCTTCCACATATTTACGTTTGTCGGTTCTGATGCTCCTCTTCACTTGTTTGTTTATTTCCGTGTATTCAGCTTGTGCCTTGGCTTTTTCTGCTCTTGTTCGGCTGGTATTGATCGCTGCCTTCTTGTTCCTTCTTTCTTGAATCTTATCCAGTGTATCAACAGTGATCCATTCTATGTGGTGGTGCTTTTTGTGACCCAGGACCTCATGACATGTTGAAGTGATTGCCTCTTTGATCCCCTTCCAGTTGCTCTCCACAGTAGTTCCTTCTCCATTGAGTAGATCATGAAAGGCCTGGAACTTGTTGCTGAGGACTATCTTGAATTTGTTGAGTTTGTTAGTATCCTGGAGAAAGGCCGTATTGAACTTTTGTGATACTGTCCGCCCCGTTGTCCAGTGCTTCTTGAGTTTCAATTTCATCTTGGCGACCAGTAAGTGATGATCTGATGCTATATCAGCTCCTCTCTTGGTTCTCACGTCCTCTATAGTCCTCCTGAACGTTTTGTTGATGCAAATATGGTCGATTTGGTTTTGTGTAGAGTGATCCGGTGAAGTCCATGTGGTTTTGTGTATGCGTTTATGTGGGAATATGGTGCCGCCTATGACCAGCTTATTGAAGGCACATAGATTTGCAAATCTCTCACCATTTTCGTTTCTTTCTCCCAGTCCGTGTCGTTCCATGATGTCTTCATATCCAGTGTTGTCCGTTCCAACCTTGGCGTTGAAATCTCCCATCAGAATGGTCAGGTCCTTTGTTGGGCACTTCTGGATGATTGACTGCAGCCTATTGTAGAATTGATCTTTAGCGTCTTCATTGGTAGGCGCATAGCATTGGATGACGTTCATTGAAATGCCCTCTTTCTTTGTTTTGAAGGAGGCTTTGATGATCCTTGGTCCATGATATTCCCATCCTATAAGTGCATTTTGTGCTTGTTTGGACAGCATCAATGCAACTCCTTGTGTATGTTGGGCATTTTCTTCTTCATGGCCGGAGTATGGCAGAAGCTCCCTGAAGTTAGTCGTTGTTGTCCAACTTGCGTCCAATGTGTTTCACTGATCCCAAGTACCTCTAGGTTGTATCTTCTCATTTCTGCAGCAATTTGGAAGGCTCTCCCGGTGTCCCACATTGTACGAACATTCCATGTACCTAAATAAATGGTCGCTCTGGTTGTCAGAAGGGGCATCGGCCTCGTAACTTCCGAAGGAATTCGGCTTTCATCATGAGGCGTCATAATTCTTCTAAATGAAGACCTTCTGACTCCCAGGGCAGAGTTTAAAAGGGTTGAATAATTTTTTCTGGTTAGCGTTTTTTTAGCGAGTTAGTTTTCTACGGGATGGGGACGCTAACCCCATGCCCAACCCTCCTCCTTTATCCGGGCTTGGGACCGGCAGTAGCCCCCGGAGGGACTCCAGGCGGAGTTTATTACGAATACATTATCATAAAAATCTAAGTTTAATTCTTTAAAAAGAGTTAATTGATTTGTCGCAGATTCCATTTAACATTCAAACCAAATAAACGGGCACTGTAAATCTTTAGATATTGAGCAGTTTCATCATTTCTATTACAAGAATTTAAACTACGATAAACTCTGCATTGAACTCAGAACTGTGAGATTGTATAGACTAATATGCTTTTTTAAAGCAACACTTTCTGATATGAAATTAGGTAACAGTACTAAACAGTTCTACTATGAAATAGTATAATATTTTACAAAAAGAATTTAACTATTTATTCATAGTGTGAATATACATCTTGCAATTGCTAGTGGTAAAATAATTTACAATCTTTAAGCTTAACTTCATTATTTAATGTATAGAGACAGGAAGTAAATCATTAAAGTACATGAAATTGAAAAATATTTTTTGATAAAGGACGTATACTTTAATTAATAGCATGGTTAATAATTAACTAACAACAAATACTATAATAAAAACAGATAAAATAATACAGAATTTTGTGTAAACTGTACTAATCTAAATTGTTGTACTTTTTCCGATTGGATGAAAAGATAGAAAGCAAAATTGTAAGTATTATAGTAATTAGGCTACAAAAAGAATATTTAGAGAATAGTGATATAAAAAGTGAATATAATTTTATTTTGGTAGCTGATTTCTGACTAGCTGGATGTATGATGATAGTTAGTTTATGAATAGGTTAGAAGAAAGTTAAAGGAGACAAAACCAAGACATGCATTAGTCTATAAAGTCATTGACTGTTGAAATGAGCCGTGTAGGTGAAGATGATGTACACTACTTGGTTGGGGTCCGCGTAACTATCTTCAACAATGGTTCGAAACATAAGGTGATATGGCTAAAATTTACTGGGAATGGCGTAGATGCATTCGCTACTTTTTTTCCTTAGTTTTGAGTTTTTAAATTATCTTATAGAAATTTTCTATCTCACTAATCCACATTTCTCGAATTACATCGTCAATACCTAATCTTTACTACTACCACTAATATTATTACTATATTTTAATACTATGGAATCTCTCTATGCTGTGGCAAATTGAACAAATATATATATATATATATATATATATATATATATATATATATATATGGCTGGCAAGTCAGCCTACTGGAAGTTAGACTATGAAATACCATAATAATCAGCTATACATCAACATTAAACACTTTATTCAACTGTAAAATACATTTCAATAAATTAGTATTTATGTCTTTATTTACGTACAGCGAGAGAAAATTCGTGGACACATAGAGAATGTGAGTATCTAGTTGACATAGTAAAATTATGAATAAATAAATAACTATTCAACAGATAAGTTGAGTAGACTTTTTGATGTTGTAATTTGATACCGAGGACGACATTGTATTTGATACTTACGTCTATAAAAGTTAGTCAGTAATTATGTGTTTCTGTATAATCTTATGTTTACTACTGACAGAGCATTCGAAGTCGGTCAGTGTGGATTTATTAAAAAATACACTACAGAATAAAATCAATAGTTTAAAACCAAGTAAAATGAGCATTAGCATATTTGTTTTATACAAATAAAAGCAACAAATACACG